AGACAAACTATACCAGTGAGGGTATGGAGAAATGGAAACTTTGCCATGGTTATTCACAGCATAAATCAATACAAACACTTTGAGAGCAACTTGGCAATATTTAGTGAAGTTAAAGATGACTAACAAATTCCACTCGAGTCCAATGAGCAGAATGCTAGAATAAATATAGAAACTCGAAATGTGACAAAGATGTCATTACAAATCAGTGGGAAAAGAACAAACTCTTTGATAAATAGTGCCAGGATATTACACATGGAAAAAGCTTAATTAGATCCCTACCACACAGTATCACAAAAATAGATTTCAAGTATATTAAATATTTAAATTATGTTTACCTTTATGAGAATATCTTATGACCTTAGGATGGAGAATGATCTCTTACAAAAATTACAAATTATTAAGGGAAAATTTGATATATTTGAATATCAAATTAATCATCTCTGTTTAATAGCGTAGCCAAAATTATAGCTAAAATTGTCTTTAACTGGCAATTGTTTAGTATCCAGAATATATCTAGAACTTTTATATATCTGTAAAAATGGTAAACAATATAATAATAATGCAGATATAAGATATTAAAGAGGAAATTTTTAAGAAGGAAATTATAATTGCCAATATGCATATGAAAAACATTTCAGCTTCACTAATAAGCAAAGGAAAACAAATTAAATCCACAATGAGATGTTATTTCACCCTGATCAATTTGGCAAAGATTAAAATGTCTGACATTATCAAGAATTGGCAAGGATAAAAAATGTCAATGTTATAAAACATTCTTTCAAAATTCTGAGGAATTTTCTAGATAAAAGAAGACTGAAGGAAACAAAGATGCATGACAATTAAATGCAATACAGCATTTGATCCCTGATTGAATTCTGGACCAGGGGAAAAATCTGTAAACGGTATTATCAGGTCAGTGGAAAATTTTGAAACTGGCCTGTATCACAGTAGAATTGTATCAATGTTCAATTTCTGAGTGAGATGACTGCATTATGTTATGTAGGAGAATGTCTTTGTTTTAAGATAAATATATATATTTAAATATATATTTTATTATATGTATATGCATGTTGAAATATGGGACACCAAAGGCCAAGAAAATTTTGGAGAGAATTAAAAAGCAAATACAGCAAAATGTTAGCAACATTGAATCTAGATGAAGTATATACATGTGTTCATTATACCATTCTGGCAACTTTCCTGTAAATTTGAAATGTTTCTTATAAAGAGGAGGCAAGAGCATGGAAAAATGAAAACTTTACCATTGTTACTGTTAGTATAAATCAATACAATCTCTTTAGAGAACAATTTGACAGTATCCCTCCCGTAAATTTCAAAGATGTCCAGTCCTGTAACCCACCAGGTCTCAAAAGCGCACATGTATAATTCTCTGTGCCATTGTTTCTACGGAGATAAAATGGAGTATATCTAAATGTCTACCAACCACAAAACAGATAAAGAAAGCATTTACTACCATAAAGTGAATGAACTAGATCTATGCGTGTCAATATTTTAAAATCTCAACAATAATACTATTGAGTGAGGAAAAACAACAGAAGGATCAGTATAGTAGGATATCATTTCTATACTATTAAAAGAGTTCAAAGCAATACCATATCTGTTTTGGAATCTATACATATTAGTCGGTATTTTAAAATATTGGGGATGGTAGGCTGAGCTCAGTGGCTCACACTTGTAATCGCAGCACTTTGGGAGGCCGAGGCAGGCAGATTACCTGAGGTCAAGAGTTTGAGACCAGCCTGGCAAACATGGTGAAACCCCGTCTCTACTAAAAATACAAAAATTAGCCAGGCACGGTAGCACATGCCTGTAATCCCAGCTACTCCTGAGGCTGAGTCAGATTAGCTTGAGCCCAGGAGATGGAGGATGCAGTGAGCTGAGATTGTGCCACTGCACTCCAGCCTCACTGACAGAGTGAGACTGTGTCTCAAATAAATAAATATATAAATAAAAATAAAAAATTGGAGATGGTAAACATCAAAATTCAATAGAGTGAAGAGAGAGAAAGAGAGAGAAATATGATCATGGGCCCCTCCCTGACCCCCACTGCAAGCATCAACTGTGCCTATTATTTATCCCTTTAAAAAAGAATCTGGATGCTGGGCGCGGTGGCTCAGGCCTGTAATCCCAGCACTTTGGGAGGCCGAGGCGGGTGGATCACGAGGTCAAGAGATTGAGACCATCCTGGTTAACATGGTGAAACCCTGTCTCTACTAAGAATACAAAAAATTAGCCGGGCATGGTGCCACATGCCTGTAATCCCAGCTACTTAGGAGGCTGAGGCAGGAGAATTGCCTGAACCCAGGAGGCGGAGGTTGGGGTGAGCCGAGAGAGATCACGCCATTGCACTCCAGCCTGGGTAACAAGAGTGAAACTCCATCTCGGAAAAATAAAAAATAAAATAAAAAAGAATCTGGAAACAATATAGTAAAATTTTAACCTGACAAAGCTGGGTGGAGAAGAACACATGTCTGTGATATTATTCTTTCTGCTTTACTGTAAGCATAAAGTATTGACAGTATATATTTGAAAGTTTTGGCAAGACAGAACCTGGAAATACGCATTTCACTTTGCTTTTACAGGAAGCATGATCTAAAGTCAGGGGCTGGAGCGCTCAGCAGAGGCTGACTGTGGAAGGTATTTCTTGCAAGACAGAAAAGGCACTGCTGAGGTTTTGTGCCCAGGGAGGGCACTAAATTGACACTGTGAACATTGAGTTGACACGAAAATGCTACAGCTCTATAGTTCGAAAAATGTGTGCATCTATATCCTCAAGGGACTTAGGACAGTGAATGCAAGCTTCATTCCCATAGCCGCACAGCAAAAGGAAGACAGCCCAAAAGTTCATCGTGAAAAAAATCAAACCTGCTGCGGCCTACTGTCCTCTTGGAAAAAACCTCTTGCTATTAGGCTGGGTTATTTAGAACCAGAGGAAGCACCAAGGCAGAGGCTGGAGAGACTGCTCCGCTGGCTCCTAACTGTAAACGGGGATCTCCAGTTGGGCACCCACAGACTCTTGAGGAAGCCCCATGGGTGATGTCCGAAGACTTCCTTTTATTTTCTATTTATTTATTTTTTATGAGACAGGGTCTCACTCTGTCATCCAGGCTGGAGTGCAAGTGGTGCAACCTCAAACTCCTGGGCTCAAGTGATCCTCCTGCCTTGGCCTCTTGAGCAACTAGAATTACAGGTCTGCCTAATTTAAAAAAATTTTAGGGACCCGCTTTGTTGCCTAGGTTGGTTTCAAACTTCTGGCCTGAGGCGATCCTCCTGCCTCAGCCTCCCAAAGCACTGGGATCACAGGCATGAGTCACCATCCCGGGCCATAGACTTCCTTTTAATAGCTTCAGCAATAGCGTGTCCCAGACTCTTGTCTAGCCTAGGAACATACCTGCTCAGATTCTGGCTCTAACTGGGAGTACATAAAGCCTGCTCCTGCTTTTAAGTAGGAACCAATTTTATGGCTTAAGGTGTTCCATTGTCTAACCTGAGAGCAGACAGGGTATTTCAGAATCCATTCATTTGGTAAACATGCAGTGGGTATCTCTTTCGTTCCAGGCACTGGGCTGGACTGAGCAGCTAAAGGTGAACAAGAGTGAGTCCAGCCCTCAGGGAGCTCATAGTCTAGTGCTGAAGTCTGACAAATAGGTGAACATCAGTAAGAGGAGTGCTTGGTGCTGGCTTTTACAGAGTCCTCTGAGGGTGAAGAGAGTGCATGGGACTCTGAAGGTGGCCAGTGTGGTTCTGCAAAGGAAGAGATGTCTGAGCTGAGTTTAAAAGGCACATCTGCCATGATAACACTCCAGAGAAGGCACATGCCAAGCCTCAGAGTAGGAGAGAATGTGGGGAACGCAGGGCGCTGCCCTTTAAAGAAGAAAACTGGAAAAGAGCGATTCCCAAAGATTTCAAGGCAAGCAGAACTGCAATTTATTAATAATAAACATGGGCTGAAGGCTGTTTAGGCTGGGAATTTCTAAATCCAGGGAGGTTTCTATCTTGGAATAGTGAAAGCCTTGGCCGGAACCCAGCCATGGAGGGCCCAAGGACCAATGCCTGTTTGATGGTGCTGTTTATCTTTTGGTCTCTTCCTTGTTCAGTGGAACCTCTCAGCTTCCAGAATGTTCAGCTCAGCCCAGGAAGCTGCTCTTCTGCAGCTCTTTAGCTCATCAAGAGTCTAGCTGGGAGGAGTGGAGGCAAAAAGGGAGGAACATACCAGAGCACTCAGGAGTTCTGCCAAGCCCTTGGATGTCCTCCCGATCGCTCCCATGTCAGACTGCTGCGATCTGAATCCTGTCTCTGGATTCTAGCTGTGTGCCTTTAGACAAATAATTTAATCTCTCGGAGCCTCAGTTTCACTAGTTGTCAAGTGGGAATATTAAGAATTCCTACCTATGGGGTGATTGTAAAGACTAAATGAGATGAAGCCTGTAAGGTAGATAGCACTGTGCACATCAGGTATTAATACATGTTAATTACCATTATTGTCATTATTATGCCCTTGTTTCTGATGCCTTTTTGAAAATCCATTTCTTTCCATGCTTTTTCACGCTATCATCTGCATATTAGCACCAGACAGAGTCCATCAAGCTTTACTCTCTGCAGTTTGTATTATGAAAATAGGAGGTGTATTGAACGTTTCTTTCTTATGCTCCCTTGGAGAGTCTGACACCAATCTTACCCACCCTGCAACCCAGTGGGGCCACTGGAGGCTGTTAAGCAGGAGAGACACACGACTAGATGGGGCTTCTCACAATATCACTTAATTATCTTGGGATCAAATTTATTACAAGAACATAAAATGGTTTAGAAGCTTTTGTGTCTTCATTTGTCAAGCGCCCTAATTCTTTTATTTCTGGGGAGATTGCTCTTGGGCTTACTGGGTCTATTGTACTTCTCTGGGCGCAGGGATGTGATATTTTACACGCTGTTGAATTAAAGCCTTGTTATTTTCTGGGCTAACACTCCCCGGATGAGTCATGTTCGCTTCTCAGCAGCATGGCCTCTGGTAGCAGCTCTCTGCCTTCAAAGGTCAGTTCGCTCTTTTCTCTGAGGGCCCCCGGCTTGGCTGCCACCTAATGGTGAGTTTCGCGATGAGTAAGAAATGGCTCTTGAGAAACAGTTCGAATGCGCCCTCGGACATGCGACCCTCTGCTGTTGTGAGTCATTCTGCGTGACAGCATGAGAGATATGACTCATCTTTGTGAAAGATGATTGTCTAAGTGCTGCTGCTGGATGGGAATCTGCCTTTGAAAAACAATTCCATTTTATTTTCATCAAATCTAATCATTTTTCTCTTCAAAGCGGACTCTAGCAGAAGAACCTGGCACTGGGGGAGGAGAGGTGTATTGCTAATATTCACCCAGCCTTTGGACTGTGCCAAGGTCTATTTTAAGCACTTAGAATATCTCTCTTAACCCTTATTTCAATCCTGAGGTAGTATTGTAATTATAACAAAATTAATAATTATTATCATTGTTGTGGTTGTTATTTTACGAATGAGAGAATTCAGGTTTGGGTTGGTCTAACAACACTTAGCCACTAAGTGGCAGAACTGGAATTCTAGCCCAGGCCTGTCTGACATCACTAACTGTTCAGCACTGCTCTTGAATGATGCACGGACCACACACCTGCTAGGCTCCAGAATGAGCTCATCCCACAAGGCATTTATTGAGGCCCAGAATTGGGCACTGGTTATCAGCCATGATCCAGACACAGTCCCTTTCCTCCTGGAGCGTACAGTCTAGTGGGAGAGAAAATCAAAGTAAATAAGAAATTGCAATATAGCTTGATAAATCCTATGGTGAAGTGAACAGAAGGTGCTGAGGGATCACATATGTATAAATGGCCCATCCTGTAAGCTGGAGGCAGGCAGACAGACTTCCTGAAGAAGGTCAGCAAGGTAATTCCTGTGGGATGAATGGGACTCAGGCAGGTCCAAGGAAGGAAGGGGTTAGAGCAGGACATGTCAGGCAGAACAAGCAGCAGGTGTGAGGGGCTAGAGGTCCCAGGTGGGTGCTGAGTCCTGAGGAAGCACTCTTACAGTCATAAGAGTGGTGTCATGGAGGGACCATGGAGTTGACTCATTTGGGCACCGATTTTTGCCCTCTATCCCCGGCAGAGCACTGGCCACCCCATTTTGAAAAGAACACTGCTTTGCAGAGAAAAGACTCTGAGAGGGAGAAGAAAGATTTTTATTTTTCTTCCTTTCTGTGGCCTGAAATGAGCATGTGACAGCTGTCCTGGACCCTGGTAGGAAGCCTGGTAATACAGTCCGTTTTAGCTCCAGGCTCAGCCCTGCCTGGCCCGGTGGACTGCCCAGTGTGGCATGGTCAGGACATCACAGCACAACATGTTAGATCCTGGTGCAATCTCAAAGCTGAAATTGGGGAGGATAATCATATTTTCCTATTAAACATACCAGCAACAAGAAGGAAACCACTGTAATGGAACAGACTGAAGAGAGGCTCCCGGTTGTTTGCTTGCCGGTAACTTCCACAGAGAGTGAAAAGGAATTAGGGGCTCTTCTCTAACGTCTGCAAGCTTGGGAGGGCCTCCTTTCCCACTGCTTCTCTGAGACATTGCCCCTTTAATGGTCTTCAATATACTCTGTTAGTTGGGTGCTTAATGGTCAAAGCCATTTTATCAAATGAGTTAACCTTGAAGAAGGTAACTTACAGGTATGCAGCATATTTTTTTGAGTGGACTCAGCTTCATACCATGGTTGGGCCATGGCCTGACCATTTTTGTTTCTTCTGTTCACTACCAGCTTAACTGGATCTCTTCACATTGGCCCCTGGAGATGCTTTGGACGTTCCTGTTAGACTTTTGAGACTTAACCCTTTGGTTCAGGCTGAAATGATCATTCCAGAGCGTCCTGAATCCCAGCCTGGTGTTTCTTCAGCATTTTGTTGTGCCCCTTAATCAAGTCTCCATTCCCAGGCTCTTTCTCTCAGAGAAATTCTCCCTCAGTGATTGGGTACGTTTATTTAGGTCTTTGTGACAAGTTAATATCATGGGAGTCTTCCAGTCTCGATGGCAGTAACAAGGACCATCTTGCAAGTCTAAAACATGGGACATTGTTGTGGCACCTTGCTGTGGAAAGTGCAAGGACTTAGCACCAATTTTTCTATCCCCTGCCTCATACGTAGCATTCCATGAAACCTCTTTCACAGTGTGGTAGTTATGATTGTAAGAACCTGGACTCCAGTTCTGCCACTGGCTAATTTGAATAATATTAGATAATTTATCCCACCTCCTTGCGCCTCATTGCCTTTATGTATAAAACGGCATCACGATAATAAGTAGTTCATGGATTGTCCTCAGGGTGAATGAGTTGGCACCTGTACAGCACTGAGACCTGTGCCTGGCCCAGAGCAAGTACTGGTGAGCATTTGCTGTTTTTGGTCAGTGGCTGCTCTCTTTGTGGACCACTTCTTGTGATCCTTCCAACCACAGTCAAGACACCATTCATTTCTCCCATGGCTTATTTAGATGATATTTGCCCTTCACAAATGAATTGCCAAGACGTTCACACTGTTCATTTGGGAAGTGGCATTTCTTCACAGTGACTTTCCCAAGACTTAGGGTAGGAAAGACTCGATACACCAGATCCTGGTTCATTCCTTTTATTTAGCAAATCACAGCTTTTTCCTATGGCCTCATTCCAAAAGCCCAGCTGTGAACTGTTCTGGCTGTTGTGCCCATTTTTTCCTCTAGTGTTAATTCTGAATCCTTTTGAGTAGTGTCAAGTAATGGGTATAGTAAATTTATTTTCACTAACTTTCCATTAACATTTGTAATTCATGCTCATGGAGATCAGTGTTCCACTGTGTGCTATTTCATACTTTTTAGTCCGGGAGTCTGCTCCATCTATTCGAATGAGGTTTGGATAGATGTTTGCCTTGGTGTTTCTCAATATGTTCCTTAAGCCTGAACAAAAGCCTGGCATGGCAATGCCCACTCATCATTTTCTTCTCTTCAGGAATTGTTTTGCACAATAATAAAATGCTATTGCTTCTTAGTGATTTGTTTGTGGCAAAAGAGCCAAAAATTGTAACTGCTGGATCTTGTTTGCCTTAAAAACAAAATTCTGTTTCTTTCAGGTATAATATGATTTGGTTTGTCTTATTCTTCATGGATGCTATATTTTTGTCTTTGTTTTTCTGAATTCTGATATAGTTGTTTCTGTTCCATCATGGGAAAGATGAGAATTTAAAATAAAAACTCTTACTATTTGAGTTCAGTTTTGTCTTCACAAATGTTATAAGACATAAAATGACATCTGCTGATACTGGCTCCTATGGCTCAATGCCCCATAGAAGGGGCCACAGTAGATTAACTGGGAGACATGCCCTACTGACTTTGCAGTTGGAAAAATGGTAAATAATCAAATTCTCTCTCTGCCTTTGTTCACCATCACGATTTCCTGGCAGCAAGGAGAAATACTCTGAGATGGTTAAGAAGAATATATTAACACAGTGGATGTGATAGCTGAGCAGATTGTCATGAGCACACTTTTGTGATTGAATTTCTTTCTGGTTGTTGGATAATTTTATATTTTATGTGCATTACCTTTCCATAGTTGGCTGGGAAACTGGGATCTCATAGAGGGTCTTCTTGGTTAAAGGTTTTGTGGGTTTCCTGCTTAGGAGATCACAAGCCTCTGTTCCTCCCCGATCTGGTATTGGCCCTGGATGCTCCTTGGCAATCCCATGAAGCAGGGGAAGACCATCTAGGATATCCCTCTTACATTCGTCTCATGGACCTGTCACCCCTTCTGGCCTTCCTTCTCTGTGGAATCTCTGGCTGCCCAGAGCCCTGTGCTGTCAAACTTCACCCCTGGCAGCTCTCACTTCTTTCCCTTCTTGCTGCCCTGGGGCAGGGGGAAAGATAAAATATGCAGTATTTGCTTTTGGTACCTAGTTTCATTTCAGAATCATTTGTTTTTGGTACCTACTTATCACCTATATCAATACTTAAAATTCCTTTGTTAGATTTTTCAAGTAAAACATGTACAAGATTTGTATACTGAAAACTGCAAAACGCTGGCGAAAGAAATCAAAGAAGCTCTAAGTAAATGGAAAAACATATTGTATCACAGATCGGAAGACTCAACATAATAAAGATGTCAGTTTTCCTCATACTGATTTATAGATTCAATGCCGTTCCTATCAAAATCCCAGTGAGAAGTTTTTGTAGTTATAGACAACTTTATTCTAAAATTTGTATGGAAAGACAAATGAATTAGCTAAGAAAATTTTGAAAAACAATAAATTGGAAGGAATCACTCTATATTAAGACAGTGTATACTACAGTAATCATGACAGTGTGGTGCAGGTGAAGGGATAGAAACAAACGTAGATCAATGGAACAGAATCAAGATTCAAGAAGTAGGCTCGCCTGTAGTCCCAGCACTTTGGGAGGCCGAGGCAGGTGGATCACAAGGTCAAGAGATCGAGACCATCCTGGTCAACATGGTGAAACCCCGTCTCTACTAAAAATACAAAAAAAAAATTAGCTGGGCATGGTGGTGCATGCCTGTAATCCCAGCTACTCAGGAGGCTGAGGCCGGAGAATTGCCTGAACCCAGGAGGCGGAGGTTGCGGTGAGCCGAGATCGTGCCATTGCACTCCAGCCTGGGTAACAAGAGTGAAACTCTGTCTCAAAAAAAAAAGAAAAAGAAAAAAATAAGTAGGTTGGCATAAATATTCTCAACTTATTTTTTATTGTTCTAACTAAAATAGATATAAGATAAAATTTACTATATTAGCCATTTGAGGTGTACGGTTTAGTGGTATTAAATACATTCATGATGCAATTATCACCACCATTCAGCTCCATAACTGTTTTCACAGTGTAAAACTGAAACTCTATGCCCATTAATTAACAATTATTTAATAATATTGATATTAAATAATAGCTCCCTCCCCTCAACCCATAGCAACCACCCTTTTACTTTCTGTCTCTATGATTTTGACTACTCTAATTCCTTCATATAAGTTGAATCATATAGTACTTGTATTTTTGTGACTGACTTATTTCACTTGACATAAGGTTCATCCATGTTCTAACATATTGCAGAATTTATTTCCTTTTAAAGGGTGAATAATATTCCATTTATAGTGTTTTAGTCCAATTTATGCTACTATAACAAAATGTCACAGGCTAGGTAAATAATAATGAACTAATATTTATTTGGTTTACAGTTATGGAGGCCGGGAAGTCCAAGAACATGGACTTGCATTTGGTGAAGGCCTTTGTTTTGTGTCATTACACCAGAGAAAGCAGGAGAACAAGAAAGGGTGACAGTGAGGGAAAGAGGGCTCATACTTCCCTCAGGAGCCCTAATTGGATTATCCTACAATAACCCAATCCTCATGATAACAGCATAAATCTATCTATGATGGCAGGGTCCTTGTGACCTAATCATCTCTTTAAAAGTCTCACCTTTCAACACTGTTACATTGGGGATTAAATTCTCAACACACGAACTTTGGGGGACACAGTCAAACCACAGCATATACTTATACTACATTTTGCTTTTCCATTCATTCATTGATGTACATTTGGGTTATTTCAGCATTATAGCTATTGCAATTAATGCTGCTATGAACATGAGTGTACAAATATTTCTTTGAGATCTGCTTTCAATTCTTTTTGGTATATATCAAGAAGTAGAATTGCTGGATCATATGCCAATCCTATTTTTCACTTTTTGAGGAAATACTATACTGTTCTTCTTCACAGCAGTTGTGCAGTTTTATATTCTTACAAACAGTGCACAAGTGTTCCTATTTTTCCAAATCCTGACCAACACTGGCTATTTTTGGTAGGAGTTATCCTAATGTGTATGAGGTGGTATCTTATTTTTTTTTTTTTTTGAGACGGAGTTTCACTCTTGTTACCCAGACTGGAGTGCAATGGCATGATCTCGGCTCACCGCAACCTCTGCCTCCTGGGTTCAAGCAATTCTCCTGCCTCAGCTTCCTGAGTAGCTGGGACTACAGGCACGCGCCACCATGCCCAGCTAATTTTTGCATTTTTAGTAGAGACGGAGTTTCACCATGTTGACTAGGATGGTCTTGATCTCTTGACCTTGTGATCCACCTGCCTCGGCCTCCCAAAGTGCTGGGATTATAGGCGTGAGCCACCGGAGGTGGTATCTTATTACAGTTTGATTTGCATTTCATATTGGCCATTTGTACATGTACTTTGGAGAAAAGTCTATTCAAGTCCTTTGCCCAGTTTTGAATCAGTTTGTGTTATTGTTGTTGAGTTTTAGGAGTTCTCTATATATTCTGGATTTTTATCCCTTTTAAGATCTATGATTTCTAAATGCTTTCTTGCATTCTGTGGTGTATGAAGCCATTCTTGGATTGCTATAAAGAAATACTGGAGGCTGTGTAATTTATAAGGTAAAGAGGTTTAATTGGCTCATAGTTCTGCAGGCTCTACAGGAAGCATGACATTGGCAACTGCTGAGCTTCTGGAGAGGTCGCAGGAAGCTCAGGATCATGGCAGAATGTGAAGGGGGAGCACACAGTCACACGGTGAAAGCTGAAGCAAGAGGAGTGGGAGGAGGTGCCACACGCTTAAACAAGCAGATCTTGTAAGTACTAACTTGCTATCTTGACGACATCTGTCCCCATGACCCAAACACCAGGCCCCATTTCCAACATTGGGATTATAATTAGACGTGAGATTTAGAGGGGAACAACATCAAAACTGTATCATGTAAGCTGCCTTTTTATTCTGTTGGTAGTGTCTTTTGATGCACAAATTAACTGAGTTTTGGCAAAGATGCAAAAGCAATTCAATGGAGGAAGAATAATCTTTTCAACAAATGGTACTGAAGTAGCTGACATCCATAGGCCAAAAAAAAAAAAGAACTTTGAACTAAACCTCACATTTTTAAATGAAAAATAACTCAGAATGTATTATATACTTAAACATAAAATATGAAATTATAAAATGTTCAAAAGAAAACATGGGAGAAAATCTTCAGGACCTAGGGTTAGTAAAACGTTCTTAAATGTGATATGAAAAAAATGATTTATAGAAGAAAATCAGTAAGTTGGACTTCATCAAAGTGAAAACCTTTGCTTTACAATGAACTTTATTACAAAGATGAAAACACAAGATCTGGACTGGAAGAAAGTATTTTCAAACCAAATACTGACAAAAGAATTATATCTAAAATATATAAAGGGCTCACAAAATTCAACAATAAAAAATATCGAAGATCAAATTAGAAAATAGGCAAAAAATATGAAGAGACATCCCACCAAAGGACATGCAGATGGCAAAAAAGAACATGAAAATTTGTTCAACATCATTACCTATTAAGGAAATGCAAATTAAATTTCACTATATACCTATAAAAATAGCTACCATTTAAAAAATAGGAATAATATCAAATGTTTACAAGAAGGCTGAGGAATTGTCTCATCCATACATTGCTGATAGGAATGTAAACTGGTACTGTTTTCCTGGAAAATAGTTTGGCAATTTTGTGAAAAACTAAACATTCACTTACCTTATAAGCCAGCCATCGAACTCTTGGACATTTATACCAGAAATGAAATGAAAAGTTACGTCCACACAAAAATGTGTATGCAAGTGTTCACAGCAACTTTATTTTTAATAGCCCAGAATTGAAACAACCCACATGAAATTGAAACACCCCCCTTGAATGGGTAAATGCTTAAAGAAACAGTGGTACTTCTGTGCCATGAAATACTACTCAGCAATAAAAAGAACTATTGGTACATGCAAGAACTTAAATAGATCTCAAGGAAATTATGCTAAGTGAAAAGAAAGCCAACTTCAAGAGGTTACATACGACATACTTTCATTTACATAACATTCTTGAAATGAAGAACAGGTTACTGGTTGCCAAGGAACTGGAAGTAGGAGTCGGGAGGGGTATGACTATAAAGGAGTAGCATGAGGGATCTTTGTGGTGATGGAACCATTGTGTATCTTGATAGTGGTAGAGGTTATATAAAGCTACACATGTGATAGCTTTGCACTGAACTATATATACACACAGGTGTACACACGTGAGTGGATATAAAACAAATGAGATCTGAACAATGTATATGAATTATACCAATGTTAATTTCCTAGCTTTTATCATCACATAAGATGTGACCCCTGAGGAAAGTGGATGAATGGAACACGGGATTCTCTGTACTATTTTTGCAACTTCTGGTGAATCTATTTATCTGTAACTAAAAAGTATAAAAGAAAAATACAGGCTCATAGTAACAATACAAAAGTCTCTCTTTAAATAAAATACAAAAGTTTCTTATACAATACCAAAGTCTCTCTTTAAAAATGTGGTAATATTCAGTCAGGTGTGGTGGCTCACACCTGTAATCTCAGCACTTTGGGAGGTCGAGGTGGGCAGATCACCTGAGGTCACGAGTTTGAAACCAGCCTGGCCAACATGGTGAAACTCTGTTAACTACTAAAAATACAACAATTAGCCGGGTACGGTGGTGGTCGCCTGTAATCCCAGCTACCTGGGAGTCTGAGGCAGGAGAATCGCTTGAACTTGGGAGGCGGAGGTTGCAGTGAGCTGAGACTGCACCACTGCACTCCAGCCTGGGTGACAGAAGGAGACTCTGTCTAAAAAATAAATGTGGCCCAGCATTTTGGGAGGCCGAGGCGGGTGAATCACGAGGTCAAGAGATCGAGACCATCCTGGTCAACATGGTGAGACCCTGTCTCTACTAAAAATACAAAAAAAATTAGCTGGGCATGGTGGCGCACGCCTGTAATCCCAGCTACTCAGGAGGCTGAGGCAGGAGAATTGCCTGAACTCAGGAGGCAGAGGTTGCGGTGAGCCGAGATCGTGCCATTGCACTCCAGCCTGGGTAACAAGAGTGAAACTCTATCTCAAAAGAAAAAAAAAAAAATGTGGCAATTACCCTTTTTAATTTCAGTGCCTGAAGAAGCCAAGGTCTTGGTGTGGAACCCTTCTTGTCTTATCTTTCATATCAACATATGTGAAAATGCATAGGTTTCTGTTTGCTTTTTTGTTTGTTTCACAAATGTATATATCATCTACATTATCCTGAAACTTGCTTTTGGCCTTTCTCGATATGACACAGACATCCTCCAATGTTACTCAATTTACATGCGTAGATCTTGCTATTATGTTTGCCAGCTGCACTGTTCACAGCAGCCATGCCATTGTTTATTCAAATGTTCCTTTATAAATGGACTGTTGCCAATAATAAGACCTCTGCTTTTATTTCTGGTAGTCCAAACCCCCTATTCATTCTCAAACTTAACTTTAGTAGTGGAATCCTTTCTTCAGATTCAATCCTATCACATCACAAAGTTCAGTAAGGAAAAAGCCTGTTATGATGAATGGAAGTGAGGGAGCTTGGAGCTCCTCTGCCCCTTCAGCAGCCCCAGATGCATCTTGGTGAACCATTAGGGTTTAGAGAACAACAAAACCATTGCCCTCCAACTCTTGATGCCTGCTGTCACCCCTGCCCTTCTCCCTGCCTGAACTCTGATGCTGTCTGCTCCCTCTAGTCCTTTCTGGGGTCCTGTTTTAGTTGGACAGACCCTCAGAAGCCAAGATCCTTGAAGTCCAGCCTTCTGACTACTTGAGTACTGCTTCACACCTGCTTAGACACCTCTATGTCACTATCAGTCTGAACCAGTCTTACATTTGCCATAACTCTTGGAGGCCGGCCCTAAGCCAAAACAGTTATCTAGCCTGCCCTTTCCTGGCTTACTGCCCTTCCTTCCTCACCCCACCCCGTCCTTCTACCAAGGGCCCAGCATATCTTGTTATGGAGCCCTCCTTTCCGAGATTAAAACCCCAGCCCATTCTCTTCATCGCCTGGCTTTTCAACCTTGCTCCTTCCATTCTCCGTAATCTCTCCTAGGAATGCAGTATCTCCTGCGGTCTTCCCTTCTGTTTTAAATCTCACACAACTGGAGAAAAGCCATTATAGCTTCAGCTATCCTCTCCACTCCAATGACGCCCAGATCACATTTGCAGCCTGGAATTCAGTCCAAATTCAGCCTCAGATCTCAAGCAATTTGCCAGCCATTTTGAACTTTCACATGCTGACTGTCTCCGCAGACCTCAGATTGGACTTGTTTAAGCTGACAATAACTTGTCCTGCCAACAAGCTCCGGGTTTTCTGCCTTTGACCTGGGATGTCATTGCTTCTCCTGCCATTCCTTCAAGTCCAGTATCTGCTTGCTCTCCAGTTTGTGTTGAACCCATCCCTTATTTCTCTTCCCCTCTATTGTCATCCTAGTTTGAGTCCTAATGATTTCATATCAGTTCTTTGCAGGTCGTTGAACAACTCCCTCTACCTGAAGTCTCTTCTTTTAACTCCTTAATGTCACCCCTCCAAACACCACTGCCGAAATGATTTTCCTAAAACACCGCTTTCGGTGTGCCATTTGTCTTCTCAAAAGCTTTCAGCGACTTCACTACCTAAAGGAGTAAGACCAAGCTCTTTAGTTTAGAAGTCAGCCTCCCCATATATCTTTACAAACTTGACTCCTACTATTCTCCTAAAATAAATAGACCAAGTAGGCTGATAGCCTTTCAGTGCCTTAAAGACACCAGGCCAATTTCCACCTCTACTACTTTGCTCTAGCTGGTTCTTTTGCCTAGAATGCTTCCCCATGTTACCCTATTTTCTCATTTTATTTTATTTTTTGAGACAGAGTCTTGCTCTGTCACCAGGCTGGAGTGCAGTGGTATGATCTCGGCTCACTGCAACCTTCATATCCCGGGTTCAAGTGATTCTCCTGCCTCAGCTTCCTGAGTAGCTGGGACTACAGACGTGCACCACCATGCCCAGCTAATTTAATCCCTGTAGATTCTTGAACACCCCATTACTTCATTCTCAGCTCTGAGAAACCTTCCATGGAGCACACACATGCTGATTGATCTCTCATTTGCCACACTGCAAACACTGACCAGGTTTACTGTCTCCATTTCAGGGCGGTACGTCATTGTGTATGGCACTCTTGCAGGATCTTTTTAGGCAGGGTCCATGCCATGCATATACTGCACGTATTTGCCACCTTACTTAGCCCGGGCTTCTGTTGTAAACAGAACTCAGGATTTGGCTCGGGCTCACTTACGTGCCTGAGTGATAGACATTAACTAGGAGCCAATTGCTTTATCATGTTTCCTTCTTGTTCTAACTTTGGGTCCATAGAGATTACAATGCCACCACAGAAAGTTGGGAGATAAAGTGATGAACACTCATGCCAATGAGCTGGTGCTTTCAGGGAATTATTTAAACAGGAGGTACCATGGTTTGGCCAAATGGGGTGCGTTATCTATCCAGACTGAGAAGCCAGCAACCGGTGTTCCCAGAGCATTGGCAAGAGAAGAAAAGCTTTTGGCAGAAATCAATTTGATAATGACATAAGACTTAAAAGCTGCACTTTCAGCAATTGCAGAAGCAAAGACTAAGAAGTCGACATTTTCAGCTCTGAAACAGGGAGTGGACATTCCAGAAGAAGCAGTGAGGGAAAATTGAACATAAAATGTCTGTAGGACGAGGCAGGCATTATGGTGTGGGCCTGTACACAGCTTCTGCACACCAGGGCAACCCCTGGTCCTTAGTGAGGAGAGGCAGGAGTTTGATACCAGAATCTTGCCGGGGTCACCGGACAGAAGTGTCTGAACATTGCTCTCTTCATGCATGCAGCTTCAGTCATTTTTATCAAGTCTCTTTGTCATCTTCATCCAATCCTGAGCTGAAGAACATGTGCGGGTGAGATTTTGGAACTGGGTGGAGCCAGGGGAGGCTTCCAGAGCAGGCAGAGCCCCTTGTTCTTGGAGAGAGCCCTTTTGACAGAATGCACCTCTGCCTGCGTGTCTGTTACACACACCTGTGAACGTGGGCCTGCGGGAGACAGGGCAGAAGTGAAACAGGAGAAATAACACTCACTGAATGCCCACTTTAGTCCAGGTCCTTTGTTAGGCAGGTCATTAACGTTATCTGCAATCTTTACAGGATCCCTGCAATGTGGACACTGGTAACTGCATTACACAAATAAGGACATGGAGGCTTAGAGAGGTGAGGCCAACCTGGCCGATATCGCAGCTGGGAAACTATGAAGCTGGACTCCATCCACACCAGGTAGCCCCTGTAACTGCTGTACAAGGAGCTCCCGAATCTGCAGTGACACACTGGCTTCCTTCCACTGGTGCCATCGGGGCCTATAGAGCAGGAGCTGTTTCTATGATTAGCAAAGTTGTTTCTTAACACAAACAATGGCCTTTTTTAAGATGGAGTCTTGCTCTGTCACTAGGCTGGAGTGCAGTGGCATGATCTTCCCTCACTGCAACCTCAACCTCCCGGGTTCAAGTGATTCTCCTGCTTCAGTCTCCTGAGCAGCTGGGACTACAGGCGTGCGCCATCACACCCAACTAATTTTTGTATTTTTAGTAGAGACAGGGTTTCACCATGTTGGCCAGGATGGTCTCAATCTCCTGACATCATGATCCACCTGCCTCGGCCTCCCAAAGTGCTGGATTACGGGTGTGAGCCACCACGCTTGGCCAACAATGGCCTTTTCATTTAAGGCAGCTTCTCCATGAAGAGCCTCGGAAGCACCTGCAGAAAATGACAGGTGCATCTCTCTTGCAGCAAAAGGCCTTCAGGAAAGCCCAGTAAAGCTGATTGCTGTGTATGTGCCCTGGCAGTCATTAGTGTGTTTCTTGGAGCTGTGGGGCTAAAAAGGGGAATGCAGGGGAGTCTTGGCTCTCTGGAAGAGAACACAAAAGAGTAGCCCTCCATGGATCTACTGCTTTATCAAATGAGTTAGCTAAAAATTCTGGCTTCAATATCTCTATTTCAAATTGGCTCAAAAGGTGGTTTGGTCAATGGAAAGAAACCATAACCTCAATTCTTACCTCTCTAGCAACTATGATAGATAAATGTACTTCTTCTTGTTAGATGTTGTGTCGTACCATGCATCCGAAGACTCGTGCAGAGGCTAGTAGACACAACTCTAACTAAAATATCCCCACCCCCTCCTCCACCCTATTCAAATGAATTACTTCTTTCAGAAGAACAAACAGAACTGAGTCAAGACATGTTAAATAAGTTTGAAAAGGAATTATAAATAGAAAAACAGAGGAATTGTAGGAATTAAGAAAAAATAAAAGATTTCTTTTCAAAACTTTCCTCTTAATTCATTACAAATAAATAATAGTTTCTTCAAAGGTTAATTTATGTTAAAGTTTTGCTAATAATCTTAAAGTAGCTGCTAGTCATAATAAAGAAATAAGTGCATCCGTGTTCTTAGTTCTCACACTTTAACCTAAGTATTTGCCGTCGACATGTCTGGACAAGCCCAGGCAAGTCTTAGGTCATAGCTTATTCTCCTTCCTTATTTGGAAATGTTATCACTTCTCTAAGCATCCCTCAAGTTACTTCCTCTTTTCCTCTCTTCTCCTCTGCCTTCACTTCTTTAGAAAACTTCCAAGTTTTTAGCCAGTCGGGTCAAGCAAGGTGAGGTCCCATTCCGACCGATGGAAACTGGACACAGCAATAAGGCGATTGCATCAGGTTATGAAGGTTAGAAATGTCCCTGTCTCCTTTGTTCAGGTGTGCTCTTGAGGCAAGACTGCCAGTGAGTTGCACCCTTCCTGCAGGAAGTAAAACTAGCCTTGCCGAGGAAAAAAAAAGAGTACCTTCTTTTTCTTGGTCTTGCAATCCACACACACATGATCTAATTTAATCTGTTTTTCGAGGAAGATAGCAGAGTCCCTAAGAGGGTCAGGAAGTTGTCAAGGTCACACAGCTCCTGAAGAGCAGGGCTCCTCAGACTCAGGTGTTCTGGTTTTGGAACTCATGGTTTCTCTGCTGTGTTGCTAGTGCAGCACTCTCCAGATGAACCTGTTCAATTCCCCAGAGTATTGAAGTTGTGCTCCCAGCTGCTCTAGAGGTTGATTTTCAAAGACACAAAGGGGCCTCTCCGTTGCCCCTAGACTCTCTCTTCTACCTATTTCTTTATGTTTGGAACTGTTTTAAGATCAGGGAACAAGTCCTTTCATTCTATAATTAGAGATGTAGTAAAATGCAAATACTATACAAAAGGCAGCAGCATTGACTGAAATTCTCCCTAAAGTGAAAATGACTTATAGGTAGCCTAGCCAAGTGAAAAGAACATGTGTTTAGGATTCAGACAGAGCTGAGGCCAAAACCGGCTTCACCAAATGTGAGGCTTTGTGGCCTGGGCTTGTTTCATCTCATTGAGTCTCAGGCTCCTGATTTATAAAGTGAGAATTAAGCTACTTACCTCTACGGTAACATTACACATAAGTGCTCCAAACAGTGCCTGGCATAAGGTATAGGCTGAATAAATGATAATTATTGTTTTTATAACTATTACAATTTCACAATAGTTTTGAGCCCCTGAGAGATGTAGTCATATAAAAGAAATAGCAATTATTTTTCAACTTTTATTTTAAGTTCCATGGTACATGTGCAGGATGTGCAGGGTTGTTACATAGGTAAATGCATGCTATGGTGGTTTGCTGGACAGATGAACCCATCACCTAGATATTAAGCCCAGCATCCATTAGGTGTTTTTCCTAATGCTCTCCCTCCCCACAACTTCCCAACAGACTCCTGTGTGTGTTGTTCCTCCACCCCATGTGTCCATGTAGTTCTCATCATTTAGCTCCCACTTATAAGTGAGAACATGGGGTGTTTGGTTTTCTGTTCCTGCATTAGTTAGCTGAGGATAACAGCTTCCAGCTCCATCCATGTCTCTCCACAAAGCACATGATCTTGTTCTTTTTTATGGCTGCATAGTATTCCATGTTGTATATGTACCTCATTTTCTTTATCCAGGCTATTGCTGATGGGTATTTAGGTTGATTCCATGTCTTTGCTATTGTGAATAGTGCTGCACAGAACATACATATGCATGTATCTTTATAATAGAATGATTTATATTCCTTTGGGAATATACCCAGTTGTGGGATCGCAGGGTCAAATAGTATTTCTTCCTCCAATTCTTTGAGGAATCACCACACTGTCTTCCACAACGGTTGAACTAATTTACACTACCACCAATACTGTAAAAGTATTCTTTATTCTCTGCAACCTCCCCAACATCTGTTTTTTCATTTTTATGTTTTAATAATCACCATTCTGACAGGTGTGACATGGTATCTCACTGTGGTTTTGATTTGCAAGAAATAGCAAATGTCGATTGGGAAGACCTGGCTGACTCCAGCTCCACCTAGTTGGGAGATAATCTTGGACACATCACACTCTTAGCCTTAGACTTTTCACTTTAAAACCAGGCTGTTGTGAGGATCAAGTGAAATGATGCCTGTGAAAGTGCTTTGTAACCTGTGAAAGTGTTATATCAATATCCAGTTATGGTGGAAGTTGGAAAACAGAGTGAATACAAAAGTATTAGTCTCCAATTATAACCTTATTGACCAGAGTACTGATTACAGGTTATAAAGTGTTGACAGGGCCGGGCGCGGTGGCTCATGCCTATAATCCCAGCACTTTGGGAGGCCGAGGCGGGTGGATCACGAGGTCAAGAGATTGAGACCATCCTGGTCAACATGGTGAAACCCTGTCTCTACTAAAAATACAAAAAATTAGCTGGGCATGGTGGCACGTGCCTGTAATCCCAGCTACTCAGGAGGCTGAGGCAGGAGAATTGCCTGAACCCAGGAGGCGGAGGTTGTGGTGAGCCGAGATCGCACCATTGCACTCCAGCCTGGGTAACAAGAGCGAAACTCCGTCTCAAAAAAAAAAAAAAAAGTGTTGACAGTAAAATCTTGGTGGAACTGTAAAGAAATTGCACCTTAATGCTATGCTATGTCTCTATGGGTGTGTATATATATGTTAATAGATGCATACATTTTATAGACACTTATGATCATATGTTACATGATAGATATCGCTCTAATTATGTATCACATAAACCCAACAATAGGCTTGTCCTTTTGTTTTGAAGCATTTTCTAGAACAATTCTTGGGCCAATCTGGGCATAAATGCTGCTCTAAATGTCAGAGGTTAAAAACAAAACATCAGACCCCCAAACACCCTGATGGGAGCCTGAGGAATTTAACCCTGAAAGCAGCATTCAGGAGATCTGAAATGGCGAGGGTTGGCTTGAAAGCATCTTCACACATGGGCTTCCTTTAGGGCAATGGGGAAACAAATATGGAAAGCCATGTGCAAGGTTCCCCACACAAATAAGGCCAGGCAGGATCCACAGAGTGGAAAGCAGCTTTGAAGTTGTTTGTGGCCAGATGCTCTGCGCAACTGTTTCTGCTCTGGGGTCTGGCAGCCCAGAGTGCTTTTCAGGATCTTAAGGAAAAGGCGCTGTGTCTCCTTCACAGATGCCTTCTCCCTTCCATCCTCTCCCATCAGCTAAAACAATGTTCTGAGTGTGCCTCTGTTTGCCACTAATTCTTGAGCTGTGCTTTACTAGCGGGTTTTCTTCTCTCCAGCGAATTTGCCAGTATGACCTGGCACGCAGAACAGTTTTACTCTAGAGAAGTAAATATAGCTTTTAGGATGCAAATAAATGCAAGAGGGGAAAACACAGATTGTTTTACAGAGCTATTGGCCAAGTGTATATAGTTAGCAGCTATGAAGCCCTTGAATTATGAAAATTAATTAAATTCAATTTGATGAATGAGAATAATCACTTCAAATGGGATAATGTGATAAATAACCACTTCCACAAGGAAAACAATAATTTCAATGCCACAGGTGCTTCATTTTGAGGACTGCTAAAATGCAAAAATCCAAGTTTATGAAGCAAACAGTACTAATGATAATGAAAAGCTGGCTTCTGGCTCTGATGCACTCTGGTGAAGGACAGGGGCCAAGATCTTCAGTTTGCCTCGGCAGCTCTGCCCAAAGTTACTGGGTCCAAAAATGAAGGAGAAGGTGAAGCCTGGGCTTCCCACTAACTCCCCATACTGGGGAGTTGGCTTATGGCACCTGATCCCAGCCTCAACCCTCTCAGAGCAGCGGTTTCCAATTCTCTTTGTGACCCATAGGGACCCTGCAGTCCCAGCCCTTCCCAGCCATCTAACTGCACCTTCTTACCCCCCAAACACACAGAGATTTTCCCACCTCAACTGCCAGGACTTCAGTCTGGCTTCTTGCTGGAGCTGCTTCCTGCCTATCACAGATCAAAGCAGCAGCAACACCTCCCATGTCCTAGGGTTACTCCAGGCCATTTCTATCTCCAACCCCGTCTGCTCCGCCCTACTCTACGTAGTACCCAGTGGAAGCTCCCTGTGAAACAGGTACTGTGCAAAGAGCTTTAGATACTATGCCATCTGCTCCTTAGAGCAACCCCATTTGGCTAATAAAACACGGTTCTCATTGTATAGGTGAATAAACTGCAGCACAGAGAGATTAAATATGTAGCTTCATGTCATACAGCTTATGAGGCTGAGCCAGGATTCAAAGACAGGGTAGTTAGCCTCCCAAACCCTCACTTTTAACTACCACTCTACTTCTTCTAAAGAGAAATACGTTTTTCTCCATAGCACACATGAGAAACAAAAAGCTTATAGGGGTTAAGGTACCAGGCTGAGGGTACAGAGTGGTAGGACAGGATCTGAACACAAGTCTTGCTCTCACCAAACCTCATGTTCTTTCTACAACAGTTGATTTACAATACAAATTGAAAAAATAGGGGAGAAGGAAGCATTGAGCAGGCAGAAGTAAGATCTTTTACTTGCTAGTTTTTGCTCTTGGTCAAAATTAACCATGGAAAGTCTCAGCGTCTTGTAAGATTGGAATAATAATAGTGTCTACCTCTTAGAATCATTGTGAAGATTCTATGGGACAGGGTGGGCACTGCCTAGCACAACTCCCAGCAAACAGCCGATGCTCAGAAAATGTCAGCCACCATTCCTGTCATGACCCTATGTGGCCTCCATCCCACTCCTTTGGTAATGGCCTGTCTTCTCCTGAATCTTCACCTTGACCGTCTCTGCCACCTCTGAGAACTCCAGGGTCTCATAGCAGCCATAGCCATTCCTCTGGCTTTATTGCCACCTCACTGCAGCATTCATTGCACCATTGATCATCTGGGAGGCTTTGTGCAGCCCAAGGTTGCTGACAGCACGGTTCCTCACTTGCGGTCATCACAGCTAATCAAACTGTTGATAGCCATGAGTCACCTCCCAGTCTAAGTGATCTGTGATAAGTCTCCCAACAACCCTCACAGCTCAGCTAACATCTGCTGCTGCTGCCCTGAAGGCCCCAGTTCCTCTCTTCTGGGCTTGCTTTCACATTCCAGCCAACCGGGAATGCTGTGAGCCCTAGAGGCGCATGCCTCTCTCAGCCTGTATTAGCTTCTTATTGCTGCTGTAACAAATCACCACAAATCCAGTAGCTTAAAATAAAGCAAATTCATTCTCTTGCAGTTTTGGAGGCCAGAAGTCCAACGTGTATCATTGGGCTAAAATAAACATGCTGGCAGGACTGTGTTCCTTTGGGAGGCCCTCAGGGAGAATCCAATTTCCCTGCCCTTCCCACCTCCTAAGAGACCACCTACATTCCTGGCTCATGATCCACTTCTCCATTTTTAAAGCCAGCAGCTTGACAGCTTTAGATCTGTCTTTGACTCTGACCCTTGCTTCTGTCATCATAGACCCTTCTCAGACTCGCCTGTACCCTAATGTCACTTATAAGGACCCTGATGATGACATTGCCCTCTCATCTGACCTGGATAATCCAGATTATTTCTGCATCCTGAACTCCTTAACTTCATCTCATCTGCAAAGTCTCTCTTCCCATGTAAGGTTCTGGAGATTAGGACATCAACATCTTTTTGGAGGCTGCATTATTTTGCTTATGGCAAAGCCTTTCCTATAAAAACCTCCATGTAACCCACTTCCTGTACTAGAAATACATGTGGCTGAGAATCGGGAGCCATCATAAGGCCCACCGAAAGCAGGTCTTCTGCCAGGGAGTCCCTGGGTGAATCACCGGCCAGGTGGAGCCATCAGGCTGGAGTGAGATTACCCACTCTCTGTCCCAATGAACATTTATCTGGCCCAGACTAGTGGGTACATCTCCAAGGAGAGAAGTCCAGTTTAGCATGTTCAATAGTTTTTAATGGTGGACACATGTCATTATGCATTTGTCCAAACCCATAGAATGAACAACACCAAGACTGAGCCTGAACGTAAATTGTGGACTCTGGATGATAAGGAGGTGTCAGCGTAGGCTCATCCATCGTAGAGTAGGTCTGCTTGGGGAAGTTGAGAGTGCCTGCGTGGAAGGAGGGGGTAAATGGGAAATCTCTACTTTCCATTCAACTTTGCTGTGAACCTAAAACTGCTCTAAAAATGATATTGTTTAAAAAGTCTTTTAAGGGAAGAATGATCTGAGAAATGTTGTAGCAAAGGTTGGATACCACCTTATTAAACTGTAAGCCCCATGCGAGAAGAGACCATAACATCCTTTAACATTATGTCCTGAGAGTCTCACAAGTGCCTGCCCCGTAGCAGGAGCTGAATGGCTGACAACCGACCTCAAAGACACCAGGCTTGTGGTAAGGATTCCTGCAGTTTAAGTGGCCCTTAGTGACAGTAACTCCATTTGCAGTGGAACGACTGCTCCTCCCGCAGCCCAGAGCAGACACAGGAAACTAGAAACCAGCACCGTTCATTCCTGTGCCAAGTGCTTTAAGCGCCCATTCTAAAACTGAGAAGAGTGGGGCTCAGAAAGGCTAAGTAATTTGCAGGGCAGAGGGCCTGGATTCAACTATAAGTCTGTGTAGGTCTGAAGCTCATGCCAGGCTTCCTTACCAAATGACAAGCAAGAGTGGAGAGGGCCGTTCTCTGTGTATGTTCTGAGCTCTGGATGTGAAAAATAATGCAGAAAAGATGGCGCTGCAAACCAGGGAGGCCCCCAGGGACGGTTAGCTGTTGAAGGCAACCTTGTATATTTGCATAAAAGCCCGGTTGTCCGCAGAGGAATACCCAAGCCCTTGTAAGTTGCTATGGTCCCTAGAGACGCTCACCAGAAAGCATCTAGAGGAAGCATTTAAGGTGGCCAGGCTGGACCAAGTGCCGGCTGGAGCAGAGAGGGACCAGCAGAGGGCGCTGTGCAGACGTGCAGCGCCAGATCTTTCCAAGACCAGCAACACAGACCCAGCAACGCCCGGAGCCCACACCCAGGGCTGAGCCAGGGACAGAGATCTCTCTTTCTGAATCAAATTAGTTTCCTTCCCTTGAGACCAAGGAACACAGAGAATATTTTTCAGGAAGCAGTGGAGAGTGAAGCTTGCCTCTTGCAAAATCTTTAATGCTTGCGGCTTGCTTTTTCTTCCATAAAACTTCCTTTTGCCACAATGGATATTGAGAGGCAGTGCAGCAAAATGGTAGAGCAGAGAAAGTGATGTGCAATCCCCGCTTTATCCCTTATTAGAGGTGCAGCTTTACTCTGAGCTTCCTTTTTGCCTTCCGTACGCCGGAGACGTAGGCTGTTTCAGGTCTGTTCTGAAGACTAAAGAGAATGAATAGAAAAGGTGAGTACGTGATCTTGCCCAAAGCAGGTCAGCAGTTTGCCATCGTTTGGGTCTTAAGACCTCTTTGCACTCTTGAAAATGATTGAGGACTCAAAGAGTTTCTGTTTATGTAGTTCTATTTAACAATGGTTACCACACTTGAAACTAACATTCATTTTTCAATTAAATTTCTAATTGAAATACTTGATTAGTAAAACAATATATCATGCTAAAAGGTTTTTAAGAAGGATAACTGTATTTTCAAACTAAGAAATATTTCGTTAGAATGGCAGTGACAGTGTTTTCCATTTCTGCGACTCTCTTTAATGTCTGTCTTAAGAAAAGATGGTTGGGTTTGTGTATCTGTCTCTGCATTCAGCCTGTTGTGATATCACACATCAGGTAGCCTCTAGAAAACTCTGTACACCGTAAAAGAATGGGAGTGAAAAGTACCAATAACATCTTAGTATATTATCTAAAGATTTTCATGTTGGCACTCCATAAGCTGTAGTGATTCTGTTGTTTCCTGTGAACTTATAAGTGGGAATTTGGGGCCAGGCTGAAGCATCATCTCATCCCAAATTTCTGGGTGGCAAGTCCAGCCTGGAACACAGGACACTCTATGAGTTACCTTGGTCTTTGGAGAAAGTGTCTCTCATGAGAATATGAGAGGTTTTACTCTGCTTTCAAAGAAGCAGATGACGAATTGAGTAATTGATGAATTGAGTAATTGATAAAGTGAATCAGACATGAAATGAATCACAGCTGGAACAAGCCTGAGATCACAGGCCTCCATCAGGGTGATGTCTGTCTCCAAAAAACCAAATCAAGAAGTCTTCAGAGAGCAGTTGGTTAAGTAAACATTTTATTTCAGATTAACATAAAACCTGCCTTTCAATGACTTCCAAAACATTTCATTTCCTTCCTGTTATGGATGATGAGATGCATTGACTGTGTTTCCATCTCCTCCCCAGCAGGTGCCCGAGCCTGATGAATTCCCTTGCTAACAAACTGCTGCCTCCTGCCGAGACCCGTGTGTCTCCCACGGGGCTGAATTGCCCTGCCTCTGCCCAGCACAGCTCTGGGTGCCCAGGGGGCACAAGGGCCTCCCTGGACCTCAGCAGCAGCACAAGACGGGTGTGTCCCTGTGTCTCTGTCAAGGGTCTGCATGATGTGGGTTGCTAGATCCTTCTTCTTCCTCTTCCTCCACTGCCCATCCTTGATTCTTTACAAAGCTCCCTGTCCTTCATTCTTTGAACTCAGACCTCTTTTTAATCTTCTTTTGTCTCCACTAGTTCCCTGTGTCCACCCACCCTGCATCCTCCTCTCCACTGACTCAGTGCTTAATCCTGGTCTAAACCCACCTCTCCACTCAGGTCCTTCTTCCTTCCTTCTCTTTCCTTTGTGTGGCTTGTCATGTGTTAGGGCCACGATGCTAAACTGGTATATAATTAAGATGTAATATACAAAGTAAGTACTGTTATACCCATTTTTCAGGTGAGACAAATAAGGTACAAAAGAGTTCAGTGACTTGCCCAGGTTCCCCTAGCCAGTGATCGATGGAACCAGGTGTGACCCCCATGGCTGCTTGTCTTTCCACCTCATCCCTGATGACTCTCTGAAGTAGCTTTAAGCACCTTCTTTATGTCCCTGTTCACTTGCTTTCCAATGTGCTTCCTTTGCTGGTCTCAACCCACATCCCTTATAATGCGCCTCCCCATAGCCTGAGCACCTGCCCAGGGCACTGGGCAAAAGCAGTGAGCAAGCTTTACTTCATGGGGCTTTCCATCTTGTCCTTTCTGCATTAATATCTGGGCTCGTTCAGGCTCTGCTGCTTTGTCTGTAGGCATCTGCCTTTTTCCCAGAAACAGTTTCATCTTGGGCAGATATGGCCTGGACACAGTTTTGCTTTGTGTATTGTCTTTGGCAGCCCCTTCCTCCGCTGTTCCCCTTCAAAGCCACGTTGCCTGCCATTCCCCATTGTGTTCCGAGCCTTTAAGAGGTGAGCTGGCCATGAGCAACTCTGTTTTTCCTCATCCATACTCTCCATGCTGTTACATGAGGAAGCCACATCTCTAGAGAAGCTGGCCTCTCTGGCTTTGCTCACATACCCACGGAGCCTTGCCCTTCACTATCTGATGAAAGCAGAGAACTGGCAAGTTGTGCAAACAGCAGGGTGGTGGTCCCTTGGGGCTCTGCCTGAGATGCCAGAGCCCAGTGAGGCCAAGAGCAGGCCAGGGGCCCCTGAGGGCTGGACCTGAGCAAGGAAGAGCCAAGTTATTGAAGGGGAAACTGAGGCCAAGTACCCCATTCTTTCATAGTCATTTCTTCAGTTCATTCAAAATATTTATTGACTGCTTTCTTTGTTTCAGGGAATATTCTAAGCATGGGATGCACCAATGAATGAAACTAATAAACCTGCCCTAACGAAGTTTGCAATATATTGGGAAAGACAAACTATAAGCAAATAAATACATAAATGGTCCCCAAGTTAAGATAGTTCGGCCTACAACTTTTTCACTTTACCATGGTGTGAAAGCAATAGAAACTACACTTCAAGTACCCATACAGCCACTCTACTTTTCATTTTCAGTAAAGTGTTCAACAAATACATGAGATATTCAACATGTTACTCTAGAATAGGCTTTGTGTTAGATGATTGTGCCCAACTGTATGGTAAGTGTTCTGAGCGCATTTAAGGTGGGCCAGGCTGAGCTGTGAGGTTCAGGGGGTTAGCTGTATTAAATGTATTTTCGTCTTAAAATATTTTCAATTTACAATAGGTTTATCAGGACGTAACCCCATCATAAATTGAGAAGCATCTGTATACAATGATGTTAGATAGTGATAAATACTGTAAAGAAAAATAAAGCACCGTCTGGTATATTGAGGTATCTGATGGACATGGAGGGTTAGCGTTGTTGTAGGTAGCATGGTCAGAGAACTTTCTTGGAGGGGTGACATTTAATTAAAATATTAAATGCAGCAAGGAAGTAGTCCAAGAGGATATTTAAAGGAAAGCATTCTGGGCAGAGGTAATAGCCCTTGCCAGCCCTGAGGTGGGAACATGCTTGCTGGTTTTGAGTAGAAACAGGAAGCCGGCATTGCTGGAGAAAATAAGAGATATGGTGGGGTTGGGGAACAGAGTCACATGGGAAGGTACGAGCCATTGAGAATAGTTAGGATTTGATCCAGGAGTTCTGACTCCACGTAGAGTGCTGTTTTCATTGCACCACACTCTCTTCAAAGGGTTATCATACAAGATAGTCCAATTTTGAAGATGGGCAAAAACAGTGGCTTGGACTCTTGATGTTTGTGTTCACTTCCGTTTACTTGCAACCAACAAGCAGAGCAAAAATTATAGATAAGATCAAGAAGAAAGACAAAGAGCTCTAGAATAACACTCCCTTTATTCTTCACAGTGTTCACACTGCAAAGTTTGAGTCAGTGTAACCCATGAGGAGTGAGGAATCTGCCATCAAGAGGAGCCCCAAACCATGAGGCAGAGGAGGGTCCTGTTGACCTCGGGGCTCAGTCTCCCAGTGTTGGTGCACTCCGCTTTGGGCTGAGTTGTGTCCCCCCAATTCATGTTGAAACCCTAATTGCCAGTGTGACTGTGTTTGGAGGTAATTACAGTTAAATGAAGTCATAGGAGTGAGGCCCTAAAGTGATAAGGACTGATATCCTTCTAAGAAGAGGAAAAGATTCCAGAGACAGAGAGAAGGTCATGTGGGGACACAGTGAGAAGCTGCCATCTAAGAGTCAGGCTGAGGCCTCACCAGAAACCAGCCATGTCAGCACCTTGATCTTGGACTTCCAGCCACCAAAACCGTGAGAAAATAAATGTCTGCTATTAAGCCACGTAGTCGCGTTGTGATGTTGCAGCAACCTGAGAAGAGTGATGTATGCTACAGTGAGTCCCTTCTGAGGTCCGTTTCTTTTTTTTTTTTTTTTTTGAGACGGAGTTTCGCTCTTGTTACCCAGGCTGGAGTGCAATGGCGTGATTTCGGCTCACCGCAATCTCCACCTCCTGGGTTCAGGCAATTCTCCTTCCTCAGCCTCCCGAGCAGCTGGGATTACAGGCACGCACCACCGTGCCCAGCTAATTTTTTGTAATTTTAGTAGAGACGGGGTTTCACCATGTTGACCAAGATGGTCTCGATCTGTTGACCTTGTGATCCACCCGCCTCGGCCTCCCAAAGTGCTGGGATTACAGGCTTGAGCCACCGCGCCCGGCCTTCTGAGGTCCGTTTCTTATTGCACCCTTGGGCCTCTAGCAAGCCTTGCCTTGGCCTACCTCATCATCAAATTGGGAAGGGGGTTCCCTCTGACTTCTGAGAGCAGCAATCTTGTCTGCAGCAGTGCTGGGTCGGGGGTGGTTTGGAATTCAAGATGCCTTAACTGGTTTATGCCTGGGCTTTTCAACTGCAATATGGGAAAGATAACGTAAGTGCTTTTGAAGAAAGTTCTATATACAATTATATTCAATAGGTAATTGCTGACATCATCTATGCACAAAGTATTGTACAGGGAAGGATGCAATACAGTTTATCCCCCATGATAAATTTTTCTCAGTGATAATGTATGTGTGTAAAATAGTTGTGAAAGCATTTTAGGAATGTGCCATTTTAAAATGAGGAGTTTTAAAAATAATATTAACTGCTTCCCAGAACACGTAACCTTACATATTTTATGTAAGCCATAGCCTTGTCCTCACAATCCTGTGGCTTTCTGCTTCCTGCAGCTTTGTGGCAAAATGGAAAAAAACAAAACAAAATACAATTCCAAGCCTTTGATTTAAGGTAAATGGATTTTAACCATCCCTAAAGAGCAGGAGGTCAGGACGGAATTCAACCAAGTTTGAGTCACTCATTATTACTAGCATGCAGTTTTGATAGTTTCATCATTCTCTTTTGAGATTATGCCTTTATTCCCATATTTATAAAAGTGACAAATATATTTATGGAAGAAACTGTTTATAAATGCCTGCATTTGAGAGCAGGTTAAGGAGACCCAGGGTTGCTTTGACTCCGGGTCTCCTTAACCTGCTTTGAGTCATAACAAGTTTGGTTTCTATGACATCACTTTTTACACAGAGAGGATTAAAGTCATTTGTTGCACAAGCCAAAAGGAGCCAGCTGGAGGAGTTTCCGGAGACCTGCTTCTCCCTTATCACAAGGGCAGGTCTGACTTCTGAGCTTCTTTCTGTCCAGGGCTGCATTATGTTCGGCGTAACTAGCGCAAATCTTTTAAATAGGAGCATGAGTATGCCCTATTTTCAGAACACTCCAAATAGCCAAACTCAAACACAAAGAACAGACAAATTAGAGAATGACTTAAAATACAAAAATAATAATTTCCTTAAAATAATGATTCACTGATTACTTCATTTGTGTGGCAAACTCCCCAAGGGCATTTAAAATGTAGTTTGAATAATAAAAATCTTATTTGTATAACATTCAAGTAGCATATGATAGTTTGCAAGTCTGTAGAGTTTTATTGATGTCCTCATGACTACTTTGCAGGATGGGGCATGTTTTTTTATTCCCATGTGACATGGTTGAGAGGCTAAGACAAGTCCTTTGCTCAAGGTCACACAGCTGGAAAGCTCAGAGGTGAGACTTCAGTCCCCTGACTCATTGTCAAATTATACTTTCCTCTGGACACATACTTCTTTTTCAGATATATGTTTTCCCTTGAAACAGAAGTCAGATAATTAAAAACTATTTTGGAGTATATTCAAATTTGAAATGAAAATTTTTGTATAAAAATAATTTGACTTCCCAAGAGAGTAGTTGGAGATCTGTAATGTTTCGAGAAGAAGATAAAAAAATATACTTCATCAGAATCACCAATGAAGTCTTTTTTATTAGGATTCTGTAGAAAAGCAGAATCAATAGGATATATATCTGCTTCAGTATTTATATATATAAAATTATCTATGCAAATAAAGAGATTTATTATGAGGAATTGGTTCATGTGATTATGGAGGCTGAGAAGTCCCACAATACGATGTTTGCAAGCTGGAGATCCAGGAAATCTGGTAGGATAGTTTTAGTGTGAGTATCATGGCCTGAGAACCAGGAGAAATGATGGTATAAGTCCCAGTCTGAGGGCAGGAAAAGACCAGTGTCCCAGCTCAAGGAGCCAGATAAAGAGACAGGTAATTCTCCCTTCCTCTGTCTTTTTGTTGTCTGTTCAGCCTGCCAATAGATTGGATGAAGACCCCTCGCTCTGAAGAGGACCATGGATTTTACTCTGTCCATTTTATTCTGATACAAATGTTAGTCTCTTCCAGAAACAACCTCACAGATACACCCAGTAATAATATTTAACGGGATATCTGAGCCTCCTGTGGCCCAGGGCCCAGTCAAATTGACACACAAAATAAACATAACACTTCAAACAAAAAAACAAAACAAAAACCCAAAACAGATGACCAGGCCAGATTACAAATATATTCAATAAGAATTTCCAAGTGTAGCTTTTGTTCTTTGCTTTTTAAATTAAAAAAAAATTTTTTTTAATTTTTCCATAAGTTATTTGCGTGTAGGTGGTATTTGGTTACATCAGTTCTTCTGTGCTGATTTGTGAGATTTTGGTGCACCCATCATTCGAGCAGTATACACTGCACCCTATTTGTAGCCTTTTATCCTTTGCTCCCCCACCCTTCCCCTCAAGTCCTCAAAGTCCATTGTATCATTGCCTTTGCGTCCTTATAGCTTAAGCTCCCACATTTCAGTGAGAACATACGGTGTTTGATTTTCCATTCCTGAGTTCAGTTACTTCACTTAGAATAACAGTCTCCAATCTCATCCAGGTCACTGCAAATGCAGTTAATTCCTTCCCTTTTACTGCCGAGTGTATTCTATCATATATGTATACCACAGTTTCTTTATCCACTTGTTGATTGATGGGCAATTGGGTTTGTTCCACGATTTTGTGTTGTTTGCTTTTTTCAAAACCAAAGAGCGGACAGCCCAAACTGAAAAGCATGAATCCAAATGTCCAGACTGAGGCATGCTGAGAGAGTCATAGATTTTCAAAGTGAATGGCTTCTATGCTCAAAGATGTGTTCCATTTCCTTGCAGGCAAACCTTATAAAATTAATGTGAGCTTATGTCCGCTAACAGAGGAGAAAGAATGAATTATATGCAATTAAAGATAGTCAAGAATAAATTCTGTTTAGCTTCAGGGTGATATGTTTTGGCTGTGTCCCCACCCAAATCTCATCTTGAATTGAAACTCCCACAATTCCCACATGTTGGGGGAGGAACCTGGTGGGAGGTAATTGAATCATGGGTTGGGCCTTTCCAGTGCTGTTCTCATGATAGTGAATAAGTCTCAGGAGATCTGATGGTTTTAAAAACAGGAGTTTCCCTGCATATGTTCTCTTCTCTTGTCTGCTGTCATGTGAGATGTGCCTTTCACCTTCTGCCATGATTGTGAGGCCTCCCCAGTCATGTGTAACTGAAAGTCCCATAAACCTCTTTCTTTTGTTAATTGCTCAATCTCTGTTATGTCTTTATCAGAAGCATGAAAATGGACTAGCCGGGTGCGGTGGCTCACACCTGTAATCCCAGCACTTTGGGAGGCTGAGGTGGGTGGATCGCCAGAGGTCAGGAGTCTGACACTAGCCTGGATAACGTGGTGAAACCCCATCTCTACTGAAAGTACAGAAACTAGCCGGACGTCGTGGCAGGTGCCTGTAATCCCAGCTGCTTGGGAGGCTGAGGCAGGAGAATCACTTGAACCTGGAAGGCAGAGGTTGCAGTGAGCCGCGATTGTGCCATTACACTCCAGCCTGGGAGACAAGAGCAAAACTCTGTCTCAAAAAAAAAAAAAAAAAAAATTTATAACCAGATGCTCTTATACCTGAACATTCTGCTTTGATATAACTTCTGAGCAAGTCTGATGTGATCTTCTACATACTAAACCTCCATAGTCCATATATAAACTGTGAGCTGAAACACTGTGGTGGAGCAGTCAGACAGAAGCTCTCTGAGAAATTTCTCCAGGGCCATAGGCCCAGCTAGCCCAGATGGCTCCAATGCGTCATACTTAATATTAAGAACATTAAGTTACATCAATTTATATCAAACTTTAAGCACCTGTCTCACTAAGCTAATGGGAAATTCAGTCTTGGTTGTTACAATGGCTCTACCATTTGAGAGTACCATGATGATTTCTTTTTCCCTAACTTGAAGGTTATGCAAAGCTCCTGAGGCCATACATGAGCCAGCTCACTGGGGAGACTCCTCTGATAGTCAGCCACCGGTCCACACTGGTCCACTGACCTAAGCTGCAGGCTCTCCCTGCTGTCATCCCACAGTTGGGATGTAGGGGTCTTCAGGGGTTGCGGATGGACATTCTTGGGCTTAGAATTCAGCCTCCTCAGCACATCATGCAGCCACCCCTTCTGAGGCTTTTCAAACTCCCCAGATAAATTAGCATCTGTCTCCAAGCTGTTTCTTTAATCTCTCTGTGGATTCTTATGCCAATGCTATACTTTAAGAAAACCTATTAGAGCTTTTAAATACATATTACCATTCTAACAGATTTTTTTCTCATGATATTTCTCCTGGTGCCCCAAGCAGCTGCCTTCATCTTCCCACTCTCATTTTCCCCTGATTGGGTCTCTATTTTCAAATTCTTCTCCAAACAAAAAATAAATAAATTCTTTATAGAAAGCCATGTCCTCTCTTAACCCATCTTTGGCCAGTTTGACATAATCTCTACTTCAGAATAAATTGAAAATCCAAATCCAAAATAAAGAATTGGTCATTTAACACAGTTACAAAATAACATGGCATTTGCTTCTTAGGTCCCCATTGAGAAAGCACAGTCCAGTCTCATAATTCCACTGAAGTTTATACAACAAAAATCCTTTCTCCGAGTTGCACAGTGTATGTATTTGCTTGAGGAAATACCTACTCTCTCAAACAAAAACAACTGTGTCTGAAACCCCAGGACACTTCTGGCTTTTGCTATGATAAATAAAGACTTCCATTTTCTTTCCTCTCCAAGGACATTGCTCAACGAATAGGAGGCTTCACTCAGGCTGGAAAAAGGAAAAATAAGTCATTACATCTCTGTCTCTCTGTCTCTGTCTCTGTCTCTGTCTCTCTCTCTCTCTCTCTCGCGCACACACACACACACACACACCCCCCACAGACACTAATAATTTACAACCCCTCCCTTATTGCTCACCCTAAGGATCTTGGTTGCTCTGTTACTCCCAGCTTTATTTGGGCCATTTGCCCTTGGAACGTTGTTAAGTTTTCTCATTGTCAGTTGAAAATACCTATGACTTCACAACAGAAACTCAAAACTTCACTTTTGCCCTTCTTACAAGAGCCATATTTCCCCCCCCACCCTCTGAAGCTGCCTTGCTGCCTGAGCAGGTACAGGCCACACCTGGTGTGAACACCTGGCTGGTTAACAGCTCTCTCTCCACCTCATTTGCAGGACATATGTGCCCTCTGCAAGCTCCATTTCACCCCTTCCCCAGGTGAGATTTCAGTGAGTTTCACCCCAACTACTTTAGGTATGTACTCTCATCATCCTCATTCAGCGTAATCCATTCTTTATTAGTTTGTTTTAGAAACAAGGAAGTGTGTAGCCTCAGGATGCCTGCAGTAGGCTTGTTTCTGTGAGGGGATTCAGCCATGTAGCAAAGCCAACATCTGCGGAGGAAGGCCCACAGATGCTCTGGTAGAACAGGGCCTGAAGTCCAACTTCCCTTAGTATATTTCAGTTATATGAGATAGTCAAATACCTTTATTATGTAAGCCACTTGGGGTTGGGTTTTCTGTTACTTGCAATAAAAATATCCCAAGTAACATACCAAATCTCCACTAACCCCAGAAAGTGAGTTTCCTCCCCTCAAGAGAGGACTTGTCTCCCATGTCAGGACTTGAAGTGCTTCTCTCAAGAACCCAAACCCAACTCTAGCCCTTGTCCTGCTTTCCTTTCTTCTGTCAATATTCAGTTTCCATTTCTGGCAGCCTTTCTTGTCTTCGCTTTTTGTTTTTGTTTAAAAAAACAACTAGGGATTAGTTTGAATTTTAAAATTTTAACTTAATTTTTATTTTACTTCAGAAATACCTATTCACAAGTTAGGCAATTACACAATTCTTAAAATGAGAAGTCCCCACCCTATCCTCCCACCTCCAATTTCTCCACAGAGGTAATCTCTGCCCATTCTTTCTTCTTTTTCTACCTGTATTTACCGCTTACTGCTAAATAAAATGGTTGTAGAACTATTCATCATTTTCCAGCTTTAGTTATTATGCATTTTCTGTGATGGAAGATGGCAACTTAGGTTTCTTATGCCTCTCTCACACACGTGCGTATCTTCTCCCTTTATTTTCTGAAAAAAGGTTATATCACAGTATTTCACTCTAGCAGCCCAGCCCACCCCACTTATCTGTGGGAGATGCATTTCAAGACCCCCAGTGGATTCCTGAAACCATGAATAGTACCAAACTCGATTGCTGTCAATTGGAAAACATTACTGTTCATGTCTTCCACCCATAAATGTAATACCTTTTCATCTTAACTAAGCATTTATCACCCACTGTGAAGTGTGATAAATACTTTTTGCAGCTTGAGGTGCAACAGCAAAACTAGCACAAATTTATTTTGCCTTCTTCACAATTTTACAGATAGATTTGTTCTTACTGTGGATCTTAGCAACCTCAGCATTTTTTTTTTCTTTCCTTATTAAGTCAAGAACTTTCACCTTTTCTCTTAGAGGAAGCACTTTACAGCTTGTCTTTGGTGTATCTTATTTGCTAGCATCATTACTCTTATGCTTTGGGGTCATTAAGTAAAATAAGAGTGAGTTTAACACAAGCACTATTACAACACAATAGTTGGTTTGATCAACTGGATGATGATTCAGTGACTCATGGGTAGGTAGCATATATATTGTGGATCCACTGGAGAAATCTCACACCATCCCACTTTTCCCTGCCCAGAACGTGAGTAGAGTGAGATAGTGTGAGACTTCAACACGTTACTCAGAATAGCACGTGTTTTAAAACTTAAGACTTGTTCTTGACAGACTCTTGGCTAATAGGAAAAAACAAACAAACAAACAAACAAACAAAAACTTAAGACATGTTTATTTATGGAATTTTCCATTTAATATTTTCAACTGTTTGACCATGAGTAACTGAAGAAAGCAAAATCACAGATAATGGGAGACTATTATAGTCACATTATTCGCTATGTATATATTATTCACAGCTGAGCCATGTAGTGTACTATGGTTATATTTCCTAACACAAAAATTTCTTTTCCACTAGCATTTAATAACTGTATTTTGTTTTCACTTACTTGTTTTTCTATGTATTTGTCACTACTTTATCTAAATCTTCCAAAAGAAATATAAATTCCTCTCAATGTGTATAAATCAATTAATTTCTTCTTTTTCTGGGAGACATCCATATTAGAGCCCTTTAAGAATTCTGCTCCAACATGAATGAGTTGCTTTCTGAGCCTGCCACACACCAACATCCTGGGAATTCCCTTCACCTTTCTCCTGTGTTGGATTCCTTGTTTCCTAGCTACTGTGTTTTCCTCTATCTTGGTTTAATCTCTTATTTTGGATGAATACATTCTCCACTAGCTTTCTGATAAAAGTGTAAGGGTGATGAAAATGCTGAGACCTTTTATACGAAAAGGTCTCTATTAACTCTCACATTTGTTGGTGCTTTCCATGTTAGGGCCTTTTCCTCAAAAGTATTGTGGTCATTGACTGTTGCTCATAATTATGAGGCTCTGACCGGTTGACCAAATGCTGTGAGTAGAATGGATTTGTTGCACTGTGGGCTTCATTGTCAGGTGAGTAATAGGGCAGACACCCAGCTTTTGTGTTGAAGGATCCCCAGCTACCTGTATCAATCAGCCTTTTTCTCAGATTATGCAGTTTTCCATAGGAGGATCCTCCACAGGGTCCTGTCTTGACAGGGTTTGAGTCTGTCTGTCATCATTCTGGTAGCTAAATAAGGGAAGGGTACTGGGATTTGTGTTTAGTAGGAAGAATGATTTAGTCCCTCCCAACCTTCAGACTGCCATGTCACCTCCACCCTTTACTGTACCAGAAGTCAACAACTCTATGGAGAAAACCTTGGTTTTCTTGTGAAAGTGAGGAGGGGGAGGAAGCTGGTAGGAGAGGAGAGCTTTTATTCAGACTTTCAATCTTCCTGGAAGTTGACAAGGGTAGCAGTGGGGAGAGCACCCAGCCAATACTTCTGCACAGAGAACTCTTACTAGCTGTGTAAACTTAAACAAGTTTCTTAATTTTTCTGAGCTTCAATTTCTTCAGCTGTAAAATGGAAACTCAGAGCTTTATATGTGCATGTCAAATGGGATTAATGAATGCAAAGCGCCTGGCATAATCTGCCTAGCAGGGGCAGTGTACTCAATTGTTGGCAGTACAACAGTCATGGTGGTAGTAGTTGGTAGTATCCTTAGCCTTGTTTCAGTGGACAGAAAGGAATCTCTCAAACTATCTAGCATTTTCCTACTCTCTCAAGAGGGAAGACAGCATCACCTTACTCATCTTCTGCCAAAATGTTTACAGAATTTCAGGGGTGCAACAACCTTTGCAACTTGCCCTCTACTCCATCTTTCCCTTGTGTGCCCAACCCCAAAGCCCAGAGATAACTCTTTTATTTTTGGCTTCCATCCCAGTGAATTACTGGGAAGAATAGAAGCAAGGTCAACTAACCTACATCTCAAAAAAAATTTTAAGATACGTGACCTTGATGCTCTCCCTCCCATTCTACACACAATTCTTCCATTTCCTAGGGCAGTGCCCCAGATCTTCCTCCTACTTTTCCTGTCCTTCCTAATACCCTGGCAAGAGAGAAACAATAGAAATAGTGTTGTCTTCAGTATGTTAGAACTCCTTTCCCAATGCAAAATGAAATTCTTCCTTCCCCTACTTATCATCAGTTCTCTTTTGCTCTAATCCGTCTCCCCCCTTTTCTCTCACTGTCGTTTCTTGGGACCTTGATGCTGTTTTGTGAAAGGACAGCCTTCTTCTTCACAGTTAGTCTTTCCCTGAATCTTAGGATGTGTTTCCTGTCTGCTTTGGGGCTTCCAGTAGCATTGTTAGTTGGCTATATCTCAGGGGATTGAAGAGGGCAGGGGAGCTATAGAAGCTGGGGAAGTTGTGGATGTTTTGAAGAATTTAGAAAGCCTGATGGGCCACAGATCTGGTTCAGGATCTGAAGAAAAGTAGGATCCAATGTGCTCTGTATTTTTTCCCAGTCTGATATTTCAGTCCACAGGACTCTAGTAGGAATTTTTCATCCTGTATTCCTCATTAACACTCAACAACTGAAAATACACTGAATAAAATTTTTGAAGTAAGTCTTATTAACAAAAGTTGTGGTCAACTAAATATTAAGAATCAATCAACATTTGTTGGCAATGATGTAAATACAAAGTCATTTGGAAACTATGAGTGAATGAAGATGGACACAAGGATAGAGGAACAGGTCTCATCTAAGTACTCCTTATACTCTTGTTTCCTTTTTCAACCACACACTAACAGGGAAACCACACTTTATCTTTGCCTTCTGTGAATGGCCTTTTTTGAGTGCAGACCTTAGTCTGTCCTTAAAATTCTCTCCAGCAAAGTAATATAGCACAGGATTGAAGCAGCTATTGGCTGCTGCCAAGGCCAGTGTGATGACCAAAGCTTTATGTAGCCTGTCTCTGCATATACCCACTTTCCATGTCACCAAGTGGAGCGTCCTCAGTGTGTGATAGGGCAGGAAACACAAGAAGAAGATGATCAAGGCGAGGACAATGGTGATCAGTGTCTTCCTGTGAGAAACCCGTAGCCCCAATTCTGGGAGCTCCACTTTTAACAGAACTCGAATGATCAGCAGGTAACAGATGCTGAGTATGAAAAATGGGAGCAGAAAGCCCACCACCAAGGCAATATAGTTCATGGTCTGCAGCTTAGTAAGTTTATAGAGATTCAGCTCTAAGCATAATGTAATACTGCCGTTCTGCTCAGTGGCACGATCCAGTAGCATTACTGAGGAAGCCATGATAAGGATCCATATGATCCCACACAGGATCCAGGCACTCCTGATGCTGATGATATGGAGAAGCCGAAAGGGGTGAACAGTTGCCAGGAAACGCACAACACTCAGCACAGTCAGGAAATAAATGCTGCTGTACATGTTGACATACAAGGAATAAGACATAATTCTGCAGGCCAGGTCTCCAAATATCCAGTTGGAGCCTCTAAGGTAATAGTCAGCCCTGAAGGGAAGCGTGCTTATGAACAGGAGATCTGAAATAGCCAGATTTAGCATGAAAATGTTAACGGATGTGGACTTCTTATAAGGCTGTAGGAAAACATATATGGACAAGCCATTTCCCAAGACTCCCCAGGCAAATATTATCAGATATACAATTGGGAAAAATTCTCTCTTGAAGTTTTCAATTGTGCAGTTACTGTTGTTGTTGTTATTGCTGAAGGTGGCATTTGGTTCCATTTCTGATAAGGAGATGGATGGATGTAAGGACATAAATGTTCTCTCCATCCTGGGTTAAAAAGAAACAGACACAAAAAGTTACTTTGTGAATTTCCCTTTTTCCTTCTTGCTTACTGATTATATCGCTCTAGGTTTTAATAAAACAGGGAGCAATACCATCTTTTCTTTGAAAGTTGAGTTTTAAAATATTGGTTAAGTCTTTACTATATGCTGCATTATATTTCATAATAAATTTACATTTTCTGATTTATAGAATGTAGAATAGCCATTAATTTGTTTGGCAGAAGTTGAAGCTTCAAACTTAGGGAACTTATGACCTAGTGCCCATGTTGACATGAATACCTCCCTGTGAACCTAAAACTGCTGAATAGTAGATTTCTCATCAGAAGCTGTGGAGCACAGAAGAAAATGGCACATTTCTCGAATGCTGAAAGAAAAGACCTGCCAACCTAGCATTCTATATCCAGCAAAAATATCTTTCAAGTACAAGGAGAAAATCAAGATTTTTTCAGATGATGGAAAACTAAGACTCTGTTGCCAGTAAACCTATCTTAAAAGAATGACTAGGCCAGGTGCAGTAGCTCATGCCTGTAATCCCAGCACTTTGGGAGGCTGAGGCAAGTGGATCACTTGAGGTCAGGAGTTCAAGACCAGTCTGGCCAACATGGTGAAGCCCATCTCTACTAAAAATATAAAAATTAGCTGGGTATGGTGGCAGGCACCTGTGATCTTAGCTACTCAGAAGGCTAAGGCAGGAGAATTGCTTGAACCTGAGGTAGAGGTTGCAATGAGCTGAGATTGTGCAATTGCACTCCAGCTTGAACAACAAGAGTGAAACTCCCTCTCAAAAGAAAAAAAGGAAGTTCTCTAAACAGAAAGGAATTCATAAAAGACGGAACCTTAGAACATTAGAAAATAAGAACATGGTAAGCCAAAATATGGGTAAATACAATAGACTGTCCATCTCTTTTAGAGTCTAGGTTACATTTAGCATTTTGATACAAAAATGTTAATGCTCTCTGAAGTGGTTTTAAATGGATGTAGAGGAATTATTAAGATAACTATATTATAAATGAGGGAAGGTAAAGAGACATAAAAGGAGGTAAGTTTTCTATACTTCACCTGAACTGATAGAATGATGATGTGAATAGATTATTGTAATATATATATATATGGAGAGAGAGAGAGAGAGGAGAGAGAGAGAGAGAAATACCTAGAGCATCCACTAAAATAATATACAAAGGGATATACTCAAAAACATTACAGATAAATACAAACAGAATTCAAAAAGTGTTCAGATAACCAACAGCAAGGCAGGAAATAGAAAACATAATAAAAACAGAAAACAAAAAATAAATTGCAGTCATCCCTGATTCATCAATAATTACATTAAATATAAGCAGTCTAAATATACCAATTAAAAGATAGAGGATTGAAATATATTTTTTAAATGACCCTATTATGTACTGCCTATAACAAATACTTCAAATAGCAGTATTGGCTGCTTGAAAGTAAAAGGATGAAAAAATGCATGTCATTCAAATCAAAGAAAATTGGGAATGGCTCTTTTAGTATCAAATATAGTGGACTTCAAAGGAAAGGACATTGCCAGAGACAGTGAGAGACACTATATAATAACAATGGGGTTTAACCACTATGAAGACATATCAATTCTAAATGGGTATGCACCAAGCAACAGAGTTTGCAAAACTAAAAAAACTGAAAGGAGAAATATTTGATGACTTCAAGACCCTCTCTCAGCAGTTGAAGCAAATAAACAAAAACTCAGCAAGGGCATAGAGAAACTAAAAACACCATCAACCAACAGGATCAAATTGACATTTATAAAAGAGTTCACCCAACAAGAGCAGAATATTCATGCCTTTAAGTGTTCACAAAACTGCAAAAAAAATTCAGTGAAGGAAAGATAGCCTTTTCAGAGGCATTGGAGCAACTGGATAGCCACAGGCAAAAAAAAAAACCTTAAACTAAACCTCACACCTTATACAAAAATTAACAAAAATGCAGCATGGACTTCATGTAGAATGTAAAAGTATACAATGTTTAGGAAAAAAATTAGAGAGAATCTTTGGGATCTAGGACTGGCAAAGAGTTCTTAGACTTGACACCAAAAACATGATCCATAAAAGAAAACATTGATAAACTGGAGCTCATCAAGATGATAAATTTTTGCCCCACAAAATACTCTGTTAAGATAAAAATAAAAGCTACAGACTGTGAGAGAATATTTGCAAACCACTTATCAAACAGAATTATTTAGAATATATAAAGAACTCTTGAAAATCAATAGTAAAACAAGCTAACAAACAAACGAATAAAAAAATCCAATTAGAAAATGGGCAAAAGATAGAAACAAACACTTTAGAAGATATACAGATATCATATAAGCATATCATATATCATATCATATAATGTTGAACATGAAAAATTGTTCAACATTACTGGCCATTAGGGAAACACAAATTAAAACATGATAAGATATTACTACATACTTATTAGAATGGCTAAAATAAAAAATAGTGACTACACCAAATACAGAGAAACTGGATCACTCAGACATTGCTGGTGAAAGTGTAAAATGACAGTCATTCTGGAAAACAATTTGACTATTTCCTAAAAAACTAAACAAGCAACTACCATGCATTCCAGTAATTATACTCCTGGGCATTTATCTCAGGGAAATAAAATCCTATACATCAATGATTACTGCAGTTTTATTTGTAATAGCCCCAAACAGGAAATAACTCAGATAGCCTTCGATAGTTAAACAAACAGTGGTACATGCAAACCATGGAATTCTACTGAGCAATGAAAGGAGGGAACCACTGATACATTCAGTAACTAGAATAGATCTCTAGGTAGCTAAGCTATATGAAAATAAAAACTAATTATACAGTGTGATCTCATTTATATAAAATCCTTGAATTGAAAAAATTATAGAAATAGAGAACACAGATTTGTAGCTGCCAGGGATTAAGAAGGTGATGAAGGTGGGAGGGAAGTAGAGGCAGCTAAAATGAGAAGTTTGAGGCATCCTTGTGGTGACAGAAATGTTCGGCATCATAACTGTATCAATGTCAATATTTGGAATATACAGGAGTTAGAGATTAGCCTGGGCAACATAGACCATGTCTCTACAAGCAAGCAAGCAAGCAAAGGGAGAGGAGAGGAGAGGAGAGGCAAGGAAGGGGAGAGGAGAGGAGAGGCAAGGAAGGGGAGAGGAGAGGAGGGGAAGGGAGGGGAGGGGAGGGGAGGGGAGGGGAGGGGAGGGGAGGGAAGGGAAGGGAAGGGGAGGCGAGGGGAGAGGAAAGGAAATGGGAAAGGGGAAGGAAGAAAGCAAAGAGAGAGAGAAAAGAAGAAAAGGAAGGAAAGGAAGGGAGGAAAGGAGAGAGGAAGGGAGGGAAGGAGGAAGGGAGGGAAGAAGGAAGGGAGAGAGGGAGGGAGGAAGGAAAGAAGGAAGGAAAATGTTATACTTCATGGTAAAAGGAAAGAAAAGGAAAGAGAAAGAAAGAAGCAAGGAAGGAAGGAGGAAGGAAGAAAGGAGAATGTTATACTTCGTGATAAAAGGAAAGAAAGCAAAGAGAAAGAAGGAAGGAAGGAAGGAAGGAAAGAAAGAAAAAGAAAGAAAGAAAAAAGAAAAGAGGGAGGGAGGAAGAAGGGAGGAAAATTGATTAGCTGGGCATGGTGGAGCATGGCTGCAGTCCCAGCTCCTTGGGTGGTTGAGATGAGAGGATCACTTAAGCCCAGAAGATCAAGGCTAAAGTGAGCTGTGATCAAACCCTTGCACTCTGGTCTGGGTGATGGAGTGAGAATCTGACTCAAAACAAATAAACGATCAAAAACAAAACAAAGCTGGATTCTGATATACCATGATCTTGCAAGATGTCACCTTTGGGAGAAAGGGTACAAGAGATTTCTCTATTTTTTTTACTCTATTTTATTTTCTCTATTTTTGAAATGATTAGGGAATCTCTAATCATCTCAAAATGGAAAGGAAAAAAAAGGTATGGCTTGAACAAAATACCCTGCAATTTTGATTGCAAAATTTCACCTAGAAACTGCTCAATGGTGCTTGTGTTTAGGAAAACACTTAGATTTTCACGTAGGGAAGCTCCCCTTCCTCTCCATTTCCCCACAACCTACCCATGCTGTCTCTGTACACCTGGAGAGGTGATCCCCAGGAAGATGAGAGAAAGCTTTCAAAAACCTTGTTACAATTAGTAATAAAGCCAACTTGTTCCATTACAGGAGTGTTTCTGGTGGTCTTGGGCTCTGAAGAATTAACCGAAATGGAATTTCGTGAGATTCTTTTGAAGGCCTTGCTGCCTTGAGCAAGTATTCTTGACTCAGTAAGGATGCATGCATGTGGGACCCTGTTCGTGGCTAGGCTCTGCTATTTTGTTGAGAACTATCAGCAATGTGTTTATTTTGTTTTCCTAGGAATAAATCCTCGTAATCCTTTTAGCCCGTAAAACTTGTTGTAAACCTAGTCAGTTGAAAAATTGTTTTCTAGCCTCTAACATCTGTTCTATGATCTGTCTGTTGTCCTGAGTGTTGCTGGTCTACACAAGGAAAAGTCGATAAGGAAAGCAAAAGCAAAGTCCCCATAAGTCTGTTCTCTGGCTCCAGGGACTGAGAATTCAGGACTGACACGCTTTGGACAAACTTTGTCCTTTAGATAAACTTTGTGTGAGGTCACCATTTCAAAACTTGTAAGGACTTCCTCTTTCTTATCTTTGTGACCTCGAGAACTACTTTATTTCATTTCTCAGCCCTCATTGTAGATAACTGAACTTTGCTCAAATTCTGGAGACTCAAGATCAGAGAATCAAGGTCAGACAAGTGCCACCCTCACAGACCACTGCATCTCTGATGGGCTCCACTCAACCTAAAACTGCACTTCTTCTAGGCCAGATGCCTGTTTTCTTTCTGATTTCCTCACCGTAACACAAACATGCGTGTTTATCTCTACAACTGGCACAGTTTCACCAAGGACAATATAGGATTGCAATGGCCACCTTGAGGAACTTTTGATATAAACATGATTGTTTAGAGGCACTTCAGAAAAGTATGAAGAAACCTTCAAGAGAAGATTGTCTTATTTGTCTAACAGTGATTCTTTTGTTTAAAGTTGGTTATAGCCCCTCCTTTTATTTCCATACTTTGAGAATTAATAAGTGCTGGTTAATTGATAAAATTGGCAAGGGCTTAAACCAATTTTAATGTCGCTCTTTTTATATTTCAAAAGCTATTCTTTTACATATAAACCTTCCTCCTTCTTTTTTCAGAGGGAACATAATTAGCCTTTTTTGGTGTTGATTTCATATTCATCTGCAGCAGGCTCTCTTTTCCTTCTTTCCTTTTTTCCCTTCTATTCCCCCCCTTTCTTTTCCCCTCTCTTCAGAAATTAACCGTTACCTTATCAAATGAGTCATTCACTTTTTATGTATACACTGGAGGGATATCTAGTTCAGATAGTCAAAATGTCTGAAAAAAAGGGAAAAAGGTTATTATTACACTGTCTTTCTGTGGGCACTAACAGTATATTTACATAGTAGCCTTTATTACAGTCATGAGCAAAGAAGAAAAGTCAAAAGATTACATTTTTGGCATGATTCAGAGTCTTCAAAAATTACTTTAATATAAAAACTATTGTCACCCCCATATTTTGGTTTCTACAAGACCAGAGTTAAATTTTCTTTATTAAATTGAATTTTCTACATTAGCTGTATGAATTCAACAAGATTCCACTATTTAAAAAACTTATTTAAAATTTAGAATTTTAGTTTAATACATATGAAATTGTATTAAATTAAAGCGAATAATAATAAATGCCTTTATAATTTTTATGAAATTCTTACAATGCTACAAATCATAAGATTGCATTTGTTAACTAAAATTGTAATTTCCTGATCCTTAACTAACTTTAAGGCCTTAGACAAATGGTTAATTGATAATAATCCTTTGGATGCCTAGACAATCTCTAAATAAGAAACATAAAAACCGTGGTCATTAAATACAATTACTTCTGTTTCTTAAAATGACAATAGATTAACAAAATATGCAATTCCTTTGGATGACATCATATATTTATATATTGAAATTGTTTAAATTGTATGAAATAAATGCTAGTAGACCAAAAAATATCTAAATAAGCTCTGTTTTCTCTCCTTTTTCTTTTGTGCCTTAAGAAAAGGAAGGTTGATTACTTTGGTTAAAGATGATAATTAATATAAATGTTTAATACAGAGAAACACAAATATGCATACAGGATAATAAATATGATTTTCTGTTTACAGGAAAGTTGAAACCATTTATTCAGAGAGTAAATTTTATTTTGACATACATATTATTTTACCTAATAGATTTAATTTTAAAGTTATAGTTAAACATTTAAAATGTCTTACCTATTTGTATATTTACATATCTGCATATGCCTAAATGCATACAGGTAAAAGCATATTAATAAACTGTCTCCTATAGACTATTACAAGAATAATGTACAAAAACAGTAAAATTAGAATTTGAGTCTTTTTAATATATAAAAATAAGTTATGCTATGTCCATATTAGTAAATTTTTTTTTCAATAAAATATTTCATTAACTTTCAATATAGTGCTTTTGACACTTTTAAATCATTTTTAAAAGACCCCTTGCTTTAATAAAATGTTGTTTCTAATGACTATTGTGAATTGCTATGTATTTTTACAATGCTGTCTGTAATTATTTCTGGACTCTAGATACTTATGACTTACATCTTGTCTCCTGAAACAACTACTCTTGATTCTTTCCAAAATTCAGGTCCCAAATTCAAAATAATCAAGCTATTAATATGTCTTTTGTGCCTAAACCATCTTTGGGTTTATTGTAATGGCTAACACAAGATTTGTTTTGCCATCCTATGAAAGGAAGGGCAATGGGAATAATTACATATTCAAATATCCTTTGAATTTAAATTAATTTAAAAGTATTATGAAAGCTCTTTTATTTACTGAACTTAGCAATAAAAAGCTAATAAAAATATTTTTTCTTATTATATTTAAAATATGCTAATATAAATATCTTTCAAAGATTATATACTTTTTTTGAGTTAAAAAAGAATACCCCTGTTTAAGCACAAAGATTACTGTAATAACTGTATATCAAAATATCTTTTTCCAGGATTCTCAATTAGCAACCCCACTTTTTTTTTTTGTCATGAAAAGTTGGAACAAACACTAGGAGCTTTGACTGAATGACGTGGGACTCATCGGAAATCTACTGTTTATTTCAGTCTTTTGTCAGCTCCGGTAGCCACAGCATAGTTGTCTCATCTAAGAGCTCTGGCAGCTGCAGCAAAGCTTGTGGAAGCCAGAGTGATTTGGTCAAATTAGTTCTAGGATCTACACTAACCCTAATAACTACCCTGCTGTTTTATTGCTAGATATAACTCAGGATTTTTCAGCTAGTCACTTTATCTCCTAAGAAATGTTGTTGGTTTCACTTCAAATATATTCATCACTGTAACACTCTAAACCCAATGACCCTCCTTCCTTCATCTGTAGAAAAAGAAGCCGATGATTGGTTACCTCTGTTGAGGACCTCTCCACACATTGCACGGACCTTCTATAGATTCCCTCGGATATCCTCAATTTGACTTTGCTTGTTGTTGGTTCAGACTAAACAAACAAAAACTAAAAATTGCCTAGTAGGCTATGCTATCACTGGCTTGGTGATAGCAAGTCTAGGTAAAGCTTATATTTCAAAAGTAGTGTGAGCTTTACCTAGACATAAAATAAGTTCAGATGGCAAAATTAATTGCCCTCATCCAGACCTGCCAGCTGACAAAAGAAAAAAAATACCCTGATATAGGCATATGATTTGGGATTAGTCCATGAATTTAAAATGCTTTAAAAAAGGTCTCTTGATGCTACAAGAACCCCTATAAAATGGATGGTAAGCCTCAGATACTTGGGAAGCTGAGGCAGGAGGATTGCTTGATCCCAGGAGGTTGAAGCTACAGTGAGCCATGATTGCACCACTGGACTCCAGCAAAATACTTCTGCTGAGGTCCTGACAAGCCTATCAGCAAAACCTAATCCTTCAGGAGTGAGAACAAGGATTAGGCCTGTCCTGGGTAAAAAGAGTTACTCGGAGACACTCCAGCCTGCTCAGCAGGACTTGTTTGACTTCACTGAAGGAATTTTCCCACCTCTAGTGACACCCCCTAACCATGACCAAATACAGAAAAAGGCAAATTCCTTTTGTAACTAACGATTTTTAAATTTCCACTATTAATACAGTTTCTGCTTCACCAGGACAGTCCTTCTCAGGTAGACATAAAGCTAACACCCACTTGCCACACACTAACTTTCCTGTGTATTCAGGAAAATTGTTAGAGAATTTCAGTTGTTTAAAACTATCACCCCTCTAGTGGATCATGTTTCCCTAAAAAGAATGGAAAGAAATCTCCAAAAAATGCAAGCACAGGAAAGAAAACTCTCCAGATGGAAGGCTGCATTCTTGTGTTGCATACTGTGTGTTTTAGTCAAGGTTCTTCAGACAGACAGAACCAATAGGATATTATAGAATTATAGAAGATAGATAGATTGATAGAAGATAGATGATTGATAGATAAAAATCAATAGGTAGATATCTCAATAGAGAGATATATGATAGATGATAGATTGACAGATGATGGATTATAGAAAATCTATAGATGATTTCTAGATGACAGTTAATGATTAATAGAGACAGATAGATGATTGATAGATGATAGATAATTGACAGATAATACATAGATAATAATCGAGAAAGAGAGAGAGGGAGAGAGATGAGAGGAGATTTATTAGGGGAAATAGCTCACACACCATGGGGGTGGAGAAATCCCACAACAGGCCATCTGCAAGCTAGAGACCCTGGGATGCTGGCAGCGTGGCTCCATCCAAGTTTGAAGGCCTTAGAACCAGGTACAATTCTCAGGCTCAGTTTGAAGGCCTGAGAACCTGGGAGGCCTACTAGTAAAAGTCCTAGAGTTCTAAGACCAGAGAGCCTGGAGTTCTAATATCCAAGGCCAGGAGGAAGAGAGAGCAAATCCTTTTATCTTCTTTTTTGCTCTATTCTGGCCCCCAGCCAATTAGACAGTACCCACCCATTGAGGGCAGAGGTCCCCTACAGTCCACTGATTTACATGATAGTCTCCTCTGGAAACACCTTCACAGGCATATGCAGAAGTCATGCTTTACAAGTTCTCCAGGGGTTCCTTAATCCAGTCAAGTTGACACTTAAAATGACACTCTGCAAGCAATGACTACTAAAGGTGGAAAGCATCATCTAAAACTTGCCTCTGAGCCTGGAGAAAGTCATAAATTATACTACTTCCAGTTTAAACTGGAAGCCTAAGTTTAAATTTAAATATGTAAGGCAGAGTTGTCATGGATAATCACATAGCCTTTAATCTCTTCTTATCTAGCCAAAGAGAAATCGGAGCAGCCCATGACTATGGGAGGAAAGCCTACTGGACATCTAGAAAAGAACACACAGATTTGGGGGGACATACTTTCATTGCTTGAATATGATAATCTGGGTCCCTGTTTTCAGAGTCTATTAGAAGAACTAGGAACCACATTTACTTCTGCAAAGTCCTGCTTTCTTGAATCTTACCCTCAAATTACCTAATACAAGCACAAATCCTATAACATATATAATTCCTGACTAGCACTCTTTCCTGAGACATCCCAGTTTCCAATGGTGTGCATTTTTTTCTGGATACAAGAAGCCCATAAACTCAATTTTGTTAACTACAGCCATGTTTCTAATGGCCTTTGACTAGAAGAAGACCTTGATCCCGAGAATCCACATAATGATCTAAATAAAAGAGGTATGGTAAAGCAGTAGTTAATTTAACCTACCTCAAAAGATGATTTGTCAACATATTTCTCACTCAGCAAGAATATTTTTCAATTTTTCTTTGAACATCTATGTGAAGATCATACTCAAAAAACATGGCTGACATGTAAATGATGTGAAACAGAGGTTTGTTTTTTTTTTTAATCCTTCAGTTAGCACTTCCCACATTATCATCTACCAAACATGAATCCCTGAGATGCTCTGTAAAAGAAAAGGCTTTCTTGGTCAAATTAGCCTGAGAAACATAGCAAGCTCTAATACGCCCCTCTTGGAGATTTGCAGTACATTTTACAGGTTCTATAAGGTCCTACAGGAAGAAAAAAAAGCCTGATTTACACAGAATTTCTCTCTTTTATTTAACCTTGAAAACTTTTTTGCATACTAATGCAGTCTAACATCTCAAAGAACTAATGTTCTGCACAATCAGACTTGAGGAAATGCTGATGTTGCTATGAAATTTATCTCAAAGACGTTGTCATTTATCTCGAATATGATTTTAACAGTAGAGAAAGAGAACCATCACCTAATAGGCTAGATCAACCAGGTAGAGAGTGAGGGAACATGGGCTTCAAGAGTTTGCAGTCAGGGAGCTCTAAGCA